CTAGGTAAACCGACTGACCTGCTTCGTTTCGTGAACTTTCCAATCTTGTTCAAAGGCGCATTGTTCTTGCATTGCATAAGACGCCCGTCAGACTCGGTTTGCCACCGACTGGTCTAAAATTTTGGGGTTTCATCTGCGGTGCAGCGGTGCCGGGGAGGTGCGCGTTATTAAATACGTGAGAAGAGCATAGCTATCTATACTAAAGACACAAGAGAAGATCCGACCTCTCACACACAGCGGCATCCGGTGCAAGCAACGTTCTTCATGTGACATGCTCGTGCGTACGTCCACATAAAACTGACACCGTAGAGAAAGATCACATTCCTTCTATTTGCTCTGGCCGAGAGGGATCAGGAAATGTAAGTCTCCCTAGGTAGCCGTGGCGGAAGTAAGATGATCGTTCTTTTTCTATATTACGCGGAGACGGTGTAATCTGAAATAGTTGATAGAAATTGAGAAAGAGAATCCAGGAAGAGGCAGCAGTGCCATGTGGCCCTGAGAGTGAGTACTCGTGCATGTAGTACAAATGTAGTACAAGTGTCATACCCGGGAAGTTTAGTACAGCCACCGACTTGTTTGGCTCTATTTGGAGCCCCACTTCGCTGAGCAGAAACTAGTGAACAGGGAAGCCGTCGTTCCCAAAATCCCAAACTCGTCGGTGAGTCTCTTTATGCCAGTGTTGAATAAGTCCACAGCACAGTCCGATGTCGATAATATTTGATTTTGGAGAGTTTGAGCCCAAAGAAGTCGATGGATGGATGGATTCATACTCGGATGTGTTGATGATGTGGTCACCCTGGAATCCTGCATCTTCGCCGAAAGTCGAGCACTAACCATTTCTTTCAGACCGCCATGGCCATCAAGATCCCCATTGTCAAGAAGCGCACCAAGCATTTCAAGTGTGTACAAAGCAGCAGCACTTCATAAACCAGGACTCATTTTCTCCAACACAGGCGCCACCAGTCCGACCGTTACCACAGCGTCAAGGAAGCATGGCGGAAACCCAAGGGTATTGACAACAGAGTGAGGCGTCGGTTCAAGGGCCAGCTCCCCATGCCCAAAATTGGTTACGGGAGCAACAAGAAGGTAGAGATGCTCCTCCGCTGCTAGATGCGCATGCTTATGCTCTGTACAAGACTCGTCACCTTCTCCCCAACGGCCTTAAGAAGTTCCTCATCAACAATGTCAAGGAAATTGACCTCCTTCTGATGCACAACAAAAGCTACGCGGCAGAAATCGCACACAACGTCAGCAGCCGCAACCGCAGTATCATTCTTGAGCGGTAAGTCTTGATTACTTCTGGGTCTTGTGCTCTTTAATATTCTGATGCGTCTTTTAGAGCAAGGGCTCTCGGAGTGAAGGTGACCAACTCTGCAGCACGGCTGCGGTCAGAAGAGTGATTTGTTGTCGTTGTTGTTTCTTATTCACGCCATTCCCATGTATTCATTTCATATGCTGGAGATAATCTCAACATGCAAGCATGCTTCAGGCTGAATGATCAATCGATCATGTATCGTCAATCTGTGTAAGATCGGTCACATGTGCATGAGGATATTGTGCTATTCCTGTCTAGCTGCTGATAACCTGAGATTGCCTAATGAGGTACACAATCACATCGCTCATTGATCAAAGGAGGTGCACTAGCTATCACCTTCACCTGAACCACCTAGCATGTCTTTCAAATCCAGGCATGAAAACGTTCGTTGCATACGCTCGTAGCTAATCAGCACGTCCAACAGACCAGCTGTATTTGCTACCAAGTTGTGGTATTCAGCAGATGGTTCGTTGCTCCGCCAGATCACCTACTCAAACACTGGATATCTTCTCTCAAACAACAGGGGACACTCTCGATACGGAGCTCTCGAACTGGCTGGCTGGCGTTAAGCCTACTGACGAGGACGACTTTGCGCCGCCCGTCGCAAGCTGTAAAGCGATTATCGCTCCGTATGTTCTCGCTCCTGTCTCTTCTTTGTTTCTGAGTTAGAGCTACTAGCCACGCTGGTTACTCCTACTCCGGCCCTGCAGCTGCTTGGGCGTACAAGAGCATATCCACTGCTGGAATGTGAGTGCCTCACTCCCAAATAATAAATACCCTTGATGAGATACACTACCGTGCAGTTCTCGAGTATTCATACTAGGCCCATCGCACGCATTCTATCTCGGTGGATGCGCACTCTCGAAATGTGAGACGTACGAGACCCCACTAGGAAACCTCACACTAGACAGGGAAGGTACAGCTCACACTAACAGCTAGCCACCCAAATCTAACCCTACACCCAAGTCATCGAAGAACTCTACAAGACCAAACGATTTGAATACCTCCAACCACGCAGGGATCAAGGTGAGCACAGTATCGAGATGCACCTGCCCTACGTATACAAAGTGTTCGAGGAGTAAGTTGTACCTTATCCCTCCCTCCTCTCATCCGTTTCGAGCCTGGTTTGCAGGTCCATCGATAATATCAAGATCGTGCCGATCATGGTCGGTGCTATCGATCAGGAGCAGGAAGAAGAGTATGGGAAGATCTTAGCGCCGTACCTTGAAAGGGACGATACACTCTTTGTTATCTCTTCTGATTTTTGTCATTGGTGCGTTTGTTTTGGTGGTGTCGGTGCATTAACATTGAATTAAGTGTTTGATGTGCGGTGCGGTACATAGGGGGCACTCGCATTATGGATACACATTCTATTATCCCGAGACAATTCCTAGCGATGTCCCAGGTGTTCATCTACGCCGTAGCGGTCCGCGCCCAGCACCCTCCCGACCCATCCACGCGTCCATTTCAGATCTGGACCACGAAGCGATGGATATCCTCGCCCAACAGCCTGCGTCTACTGCACATACCAAATTTGTAGCGTACCTGGAGCGCACGCATAATACAATTTGCGGACGACACCCCATCGGGGTGTTGATGGGCGCACTCAGTGCGCTGGAAGAGAAAGGCAAGCAGGCGAGAATGAAATGGGTGCGATATGAGCAGAGCAATCGGTGTGTGTCGTTCGATGATTGGAGCGTGAGTTATGCGAGTGCGTTTGTTACTTTTTAGAGGGGGCATGCACAATGCGATCAGCGATGCCAGTGTATAACAACAATATATTTGACTACAGATCATAATATGCATGGGTGTGGAGCGCTGGGCCCAGACTGCTGACCCATAGTCTACCTGAGGACAGGAAAACACAGTTAGACACTATGCGCTACGAGTCGCTCTTAGCCCTGAGGAAGTTCTCCCAGACGGCCATAACACGTCTACGAGACTAGAATGGGGCGTGAGGTATGAGTGAATGAGTGGGCGGTTTTATAGCTCATCGGCTGATTTCGGGTGGAAATTGATTAAGTGCGGTGGGAGCTGATTTTTTTATTGGACACACGGTGACATGTGTGGGACCCAGATTGCGGGGAGATTTCAGATCGTTTGCATCATGGCAAAATAATATTGCATGAACCTCGAAAAAGACAGACTGAGAGAGGAAAAAAGACCAAAAAAAAGACAAAACGAATCAGAGAAAATGATATGTATACGAGCAGGTGTAATCAGCATCGGTGTCAGTTTCAGTCAGTACACATTAAATCAAGTCGTCAATCGAGCTATTCTGCAACCTTGGGGGCGCCTATTATACGCGTACAACTCCCCTATGAGAGTGAGGGGAATGCGGTCTCGTCGTCCACGTTGATGGCAGATGCACCTGGAGCGGAATGACCGTTCGCGCCACCACGTCCGCGTCCCCCACGACCACGGCCCCTCTCGCCACGGCTCCGCTCTCCGCCACCCCTGTCTCCACCACGACCGCCACGACCAGGACGGCTTGGGCGTTCGAAGCGAGCTTCGATTTCAATGAAAACTTTTTCATCTTTCTTGGTACGAGCCTTTGGAGCAGATTTAGCCTGGTGGAGATGTGTGAGATACGATTAACAGGTATAAGCAAAGAGGTACCTTTCCAGCGAAATACTCAGAATCGTCCTTCTGCAAGGGTGCAGCACCCTGGAAGACATCATCATCTGCACCGTCATTGGGCTTTCTGACGTCCAACTTTGGGACGAGTGCATTTTCCTTCTCGCGCTGTTGTGCAAGGTATTGGTCGAGAGTGAGAGTGTTATCTTCTTCTTCCTCTCTGTCACCGCGCCTTTCACGCCTTTCACCTGATTGAGGCTTTTCGGCACCTTCTGCTGCCGAGGGAGCAGCCCAGTCATCTGCAGGAGGAGCATCTGCGGGAGCAGCCCAGTCATTTGGAGAGGGGTTAGCTGCTGGGGCAGCCCAGTCATTTAGACCACTAGCAGCGTTCTCTGCCAAAGCGTCGTTTGTAGCGGCTTCCTCCGTTTTGCGTTCTGTTTCTCCATCATCGCCACCCCAAGAGTTGTGGACCTTTTTTTCAGAGTCGCTAGGTGAGAGGATGAGGGTGGGTGAAGAATGAGCGTGAGGGGGGACTTACGTTTTACCAGTTTGACTGTGCCTGTCAAATGGACGACCACGTCCACCACGGTCACCACCACGACCGCGGCCTCTTCCCCGGCTTTCTTTGCGCTCGCCATCGACTTTTATTTATCAGATATGGATTTAAAAGAAAGAAAGTACTCACATCGCCTTGGTTTTGGCTCTGGAGCTGGCTGATCATCAGTTGGAGGGGCAGCAGGGGGTGCAGCGCCTCCACGCTGGTAGTATCTACCCCCACGAGAGGCAGGGCCTCCGCGTCCACGAGTACGAGTTTGTTGTGATTGTGGAGCTGACGCTGGTGTCGCAGGCTCAGCTGAAGGGGGAGGGGGAGTGGATGGCCTGTCCTCTGTTAGTATAAGAAAGTAAGTGACTGAATGAAATGATAAAATCAAAACCTGCCGTCCAAGAGTGCAAAAGGGTTTCTTGTGGCCACCGACATGGCCGGTTTTTTAAGGATCAGTCAGAGTGAGGATGAGATTAGAGTGCTAGTTGTGATGACCCCGTAAACACGAACTGGGGTCCTTTCAAGCCACTGTACAGTTTATGACACGTGCTAGGTATAAAAACCAGTCTGCTTCGAATTCAAAGGGTTACGCTTAAAACAAAACAGGTTAGTTTCATGCAGTTCGGAAGACGAACGTCCTTCTAACTAAAATTTTATAGCCTTCAAAAGCATCTCGACGAGTTTTACCCGCCTTTTTTTGGATGGTTGTGGAACTATGACCTTGAGACCGTCATAAATGGGCTGAAGAGTGATTTTCGATGGGACTTGGGTGCGGTACGTTCGTAGTGGAGACTATTCATGGTCACCGTTTGGGCGAAATTCGCAATGTCTCGTTGTACAAGCTTTGATGTCCGTACAAGCTTGTTTTTGATGCAATTAAACTTTCGTAAACAAGCACGTTAAAGAGTCTCACGTTCTCTCTCTTTCTTCAATGTCATGGCTGCAAGACGAATGGACATTTCATCGCTACTCTGCGACGACAACGGCAACAATGACAACGACGACGAGCAACAGTCGTCGTCCTCACCATTAATCTATCAGCCTGTTATTCTAGCTCCACATCTTCGTGGTAAACACGCACGACAGGCCCCAACTCATAATTACATACCAGAATTAACTTCACCCAACATGCCACCAAGAACTATCGATGCCCTACTGCACCATCCTTCACCACGTCCAGATTCTTCTCATTCTCATTCTTCGGTAAACGCTCTCCTAAATCCAGTTCGTTCGCCTTTCGTCAGTATTCCTCTTTTATCACACCCTTTATCTCTTAATCCTACACAGTCAATGTCACATCCTCGAACAGGTCTTGATGCTCTCGTCCATGCTGCATCAGAAGAACGAAGGCGCATAAGCGCAGGTTCATCAACAAGTGAATCTAGTACAAGTCCAGTCAGCTTACCCCCTCCCCGCCCTTATCCATTATACATCACAGACGACTCACCTCGTCCACACAAGAGAATAAGAGAATCTCGCTCTCCAACTCCACCACAACGCTCAGCCCCAAACCCAAGTCCAACAACAAGCGCTCTCAGCTCAAGTCTCACAGGGCCCGGAATCCCACATTTATCTTCTCCCTCCAATATACCCTTGTCAGGCCCAGGCATAACACCTCCACACTATCACCCACCTCTACATCGTTCCCCCACAATAGCACGCCATTCCCCTATCGTTCCCACCCGAATGTCACCCATCGTATATGCCGCAATGCGCTCTGACGTCCCCCGTCTCGGCAGGGCGGTATGGGATGAAGAGGAAGTTGACGATATCAGAAGGCGTGAAGAACCCCTCAGGCAGGAACGCCAGCACGATAGAGATGACTACCAGCTACGGCACAGACAAGAGCCCGACCCCCACCAGCTAGACTTCCAACTGGAGATCCGTCAGCGCCAAGAACTGGAGATCCGTCAACGTCAAGAACTCGAGCTCCGTCAGCGTCATGCAAACGAAATCATTCTCAGACAGCGTGAAGAGGTCCCTCGACAACAAGAGCTCGAGCGCTGGCAGGGTGAGAGTGTTCTCCGCGCACAGGAAGACTCTGCATGGAAAGTAGAAGACATGCGCGGGCGGAGAGACACATTGCATCAATCCCCCCGGGAAGACTCTCAACGTCGTGACAGATCCTCACATCGCCAGCCATCTCTACATCGCCCAAAACGTGATACCTCTCTACATCCCGTGCGCGATCCCCTCCTTCACCCAAATGATATGGACCCTCGATATCGTGAACAGCTGATGAGACAGCTCGATCAGGAGCTTCAGAGGAGGCAGGAGATAGAGCGGGAGTTGCAGCGTCAAGAGCGTGAGCGTCGGCAGGGCGAGGAACTTCTTCGACAGCAAGAAGAGGCCGCTGCTCGGCAGGTAGAGGAGTTAAGAATGCGTCAGGAACAACGCCGGCGGGAGGAAATAACTTTGAGGCAGAGGGAGGCAGAGGCAAGGAGGCGCGAAGAAGAAGAGGTCCAGCTGAAGGCCAAGGCTGAGAACGAACGCATTCGTGCGGAAGCCGAGCAGCGTCAGCGTGAAGAACTCACTCGAAAGCGGCAAGAGGAGGAAATCGAGAAGCGACGCCGCCAAGAAGAGCTCGAGAAACGGAGGGCGGAAGAGGAGCTCGAGCGCAGACGACAGGAAGAAGAAGCCGAGCGGAGACGACAGGAAGAGGAGATTGAGCGCAGACGCCAAGAAGAGGAGGCTGAGCGCCGACGCAAGGAGGAAGATGCCCAGCGACGACGTGTCGCAGAGGCTGAGCGTCAACGTATCGCAGAGGCTGAGCGCCAACGTGTAGAGGCTGAGCGCCAACATATAGAGGCTGAGCTACGTCAACGTGCAGAGGCCGAACGAGCAGAAGCCGTGCGCGCTGAGCTTGAGCATCGTCAACGCATTGAGCGCGAACAGCGCCGCCGGGACGAGGAACATAAACGCCAAGAAGAGCTCGAGCGGATGCAGCGCGAGGTGATGTTGCATCGGCAACGAGAGGAGGCTTTGCTCAGGCAGAGAGAAGAAGCACGCAAGATCCGGGAGGAGGAAGATCGTGCGCGCAGGCTGCGCGAACAAGCTGAGAGGAAAGAACGGGAAGACCTTGAGCGCAAGCGTCTTGAGGATCTCGAACTACAGGCTCGGCGAGAAGAGGCCGAACGCAGACAGAAAGAGGAGACCGAACGCAGACAGAAGGAGGAAACCGAACGCCAGCGTGCAGAGCTCGAACGCAGAAAATTGGAGGAACTTGAACGCCAGCAGCGAGAAGCAGCCGAGCGATTGCGATTAGCTGAAGAGATTCAACGCAAGGAAAGGGAAGCCCTCGAACGTGAGCAGCGGGAGGAGCTTGACCGCCAACGATTGGTGGAGGAACAGCGTCAACGAGAGGAGCGTCAACGAGAGGAACAGGAACAGCGTCAACGAGAGGAACAAGAACAGCGCCAACGAGAGGAACTCCAGTGGAAACAACGTTCAGAAGCCCTGCGACGACAACAAGAAGAACTTTCACTTCAACAGCAGCAGGAACTCGAGCGCCGACAGCAGCTTGAGCAGATGCATTTGGACGAAGTCCAGCAGGACGAAGATGTTGATACGAGTCCAGACGCTGTGGAAGGCGAGGACGAGCAGCCACAGCCATTTATACCTACCTCCACATCCGGCTCCCCGACCATCCAACCTTCGCCCGATGATACCGCTGAACGTAACTTGCCTCCTATGTATCGTGGTAAGACAAAGGTACATTCTCCAACGCTTCCGCTCTCCCAGCCAAGTAAGGTGGAGGAGCAAGAGACGCGCCTTCCTTCTCCCGTCCACGCCACTGCACCCTCCGCGACGGAAGGCCCACAACCCCCTTTATATTTATCTTCCACTCGTGTGTCTCCTACTCGTCCCTTCCACTCTCCCATACACAAACCCGACCCCTCTTCTATGGATGTGGACGAGGAACTCCTGAGTCTCATCGAGGATCGCCCATCATTAAATCACAAAGCTTCGCGTCTAAAACCCAAGCCGTCACCTTCTCCACAACGCCCATCTCCTCCAGATGACGAGCTCATGCCTCCTCCCCCTGCGGCGCCTATCAAAAAGAAGGTAGAGCCAGCAAAGGCCGGGAAGAAGAAAGGGATGGCTGCTCCTAAGGTGATATTTTATTTTATTTTGTAGTATTCAGATGACCCATTTTCGTGTCATAGCCCCCTCCGAAACCCAAGCCTCCACCAAAAGCGCGTGCAAAACCTCCTCCAAAGACGAAAGCCAAGGAACCCACGCCGAAAGATGTTCTCAAGAACAGTCTCTTTGCAAAGCATGCTGCTGCCTCACGGTCACGATCTGCGTCTGTCATGCCTGTCGACACAAAGGAGGAGCCGGAAGACGAGGACAGCGAGAGGGAGGACGATAAGCTGTACTGCGTGTGCAAAACACGATATGACGAAGATCGAGTCATGATTGCATGCGATCGGTGAGTGTTCCCTCTTTTCAAGAGCAAAGCTAATGTATTTGTGGTGTAGCTGTGACGAATGGTATCATACACAGTGCGTCAACATGCCCGATCTTGAGGTCGATCTTGTGGATCAGTTCATCTGCCCGGTGTGCATCCAAAGTGAGTTATCACTATCACGCAGAGATTCAACTTGTTCATTTGTTTTGGATGCGTTTGCAGCTAACCCCCACTTGCACCTTCAAACGACGTATAAGCGCCGCTGCTTTTTCGGGTTGAAGCATACAGACCCATCATCGTCGAATGCGTGCCACAAACCCTCTCGAGGTGTATTTTCGAAGTATTGTTCCGACGAATGCGGCATCAAGTACATGCAGATGCGTATTTCGCAATGGGAACGCAGCGGTGGCAAACGCGACAAGCTCTGGGAAAGCGTCAAGAACGCAGAAAAGCGTGAAGGCGTTGTCGCCTGTGCAGACGTGAAGATGGAGATCGACAGTAAGCTATCACCTGCGCCTATTTCTGCACAGAAGCGCAAGGCGGACCGTGAAATTGCATGCTTGAATTCACGCCTCGAGAATGTGGTGAGGGAGCGGGAGATGATGAAACGTGAGATGGATATGGTGTTGTGGAGGGAGAAGTTGGTGAAACTTGCTTCTGAGCGGGCGGAAAGGGTGGATGAGTGTGGGTGGGATCAGAGGCTTTGTTTTGGTGAGGAGGAGTGGGATGATTTTGGTGCGGAAGTGTTGGAGAGCTATGAGGAGAAGGCAAAGGAGGAAGCATCAGATGATGTCATGCAGGTAGATGGCGTCACGACCGGTCATGGGGAATGGTGGTGTACGGGGAAGAAAAAGTGTGAGCGACATGCAGGGTGAGTGTTGATTCATGGATTTTGACGTGGGGTATCTGACTGTAGCTTAGGTGGCAGAAACTACGCGTTGCCGAGGTTGCTTTTGATAAAGAAACGAAGGAAACGATCCTCTCCACTCTCACCACTCGCGAACGCGAAATAAGGAAAGGAATCGAAGATATTTTATACCCACCATCAACGAATGCCTCTCAGGCGCCGTCCAAGCCCTCACTTGCAGATCCGCCACTAAATGGCACTAGCAAACCTCGGATTAACGGGGAGACTATAGAAAAGGGGAAGAAGAAGAAATCGTAATTCACACCACTGTATTTTTAAGACATTTTTTCTTGTTTGTTGTCAGAGTATTTGACGTCCTATCTCGCTTTTTTGCAGTTCTTGATAATGATGTTTTCGTCTTTTTTGTAGCCCTGGCCTTTACCCGGTGATACCGCACATTTATGCTAGATGGACTCAATAAACCAATACGCCCATAGGCGGTATGCATGAGGAATGAATAAACAGTATTAGTACGATAGTCCATCAATAGCCATCGCCCTCGCCACCCTCCTTACAGAACCCTTTCTGCTCATATAAGACCTTGGATTTGAAATCTTCGCGTGCCTTCTTATGTGCGATATCCCTCTTATGATATGGATCAAGAACGGAATAATCCACTTGTTGTAATGGGACATCATCCTCCTGATCGAGATCCTGCCAAGAGACATCGACAACGTAAATGCACCTGCTGCATGGCGCTCGAATACGTACAATTTCGCCAAGCAACACGACATTCTCCCCGCGTATGAGGAAGAGGCCGTGCCAGTGTTCTGCGAATGCTTTACCATGAAATATTCGCTCGACGGTGTCTTCGAGGACGAGGTTAGCTGAAAAAACGGGCGAGTTGGAAGAGTCAGCGGACTTATCGTATGCTTAACGAAAACAAACTTACCAAATTGATCATAAGAGCGTAGTACACCGTGTAATTTTCGCCCGTCTCTGAGGACGACCAACATCTTTCCTGGGACGGGCGAAAGAGTGCATATCATAATTGGGGGGTAAAGTGATCATGGAGACTTCAGGTCGAATGGTTGCCGTGCAGTTGACTGTGTAGACGTACTGTCCACGCAATCTACCAGTGATCCCGATGTCGTGAATGGGATTAAAGAATCCATGGAAGGTAGTTAATGCTGCTCCCGAGCAGCGAATAAGTACTACGAGATGTAAGGAGAGACCAAAAGCTGTAAAAGTTTGAGATTTGTTCTTGATGTCGTTGGTGGGAGTGAGGTTATAATTTTTGATGTACTCACCGAATACAAGCTGATATGGCCGAGTCGTTAAGGCGAGTGATTTGAATACACATCATCACTTGGGCATTGCCCGCGTAGGTTCAAATCCTGCTGTCAGCGAATTTTTTCGGTCTTCTGACATTTTGTTCGGTTCGGGTTAGACTCCGACGGCTAGTACTAATTATCAATGGACTCCCAGCTCTTCGGTATACCCACTAGTAGAATATGATTGAGACGATCTACATCGCTAGACATGGTCAGTGTATCTCTTAATTATTCCATCTGGTGTTCACCAAGTCTTAGGGTTCAGATTAAACTGGATCAACACTAACTGGTGAGCGGATGAAGGTCAGGCTAAACTATAATTCAACCCGCGAATACTACAGGAAGAGTCCTACGGGTCTTCCAAAAGATCCTCCCTTGGCTGCTTATGGAGAGGTATCATCGGACCGTTGGCAAAGATCATCAACTCATGCATGATTCTTAGGTTCAAGCACAGGAACTTGCTGCCTACTTTCTAGCTCTTCCCGAAGAGAAGCGCCCCACCATCATATTATCTTCCCCTTACTGTGAGCACATCGCTTCTTAATTCTCTCAGGGCTAAGACTACCTTAGATCGGTGTCTGCAAACGTCCAAGCCGACCTCCCAAGCTCTTGAAGTGCCCATCTATGTTGAACACGGTGGGCAAATCCAAGTAGCGATGTACGTATATCAGCTCATAGTCGGTTAGGATTGTCCGAATGGTATTCCCCTGTCGCTCCTGGCACTGGCTTGCACCCTAGGCCATCGTCCGCTACAGTCATGCAAACATACTTTTCAGAGATCGACCCCTCGTGGTCCTCGATCTGGTATCCCACACGAAGAGGCGAGGACGTCGAAGCCTTGCATGAGCGCGCCAACGGTGTATTAGATTTGCTCATTACGGAGGTAGAAAAGCGCTTTGGCGTCAAGCATAAGAACATTCTTCTAGTCAGTCATGCTGCGACTGTCATCGTGCTGTGTCGGGCCTTGCTAGCACAACCAGATCTCCCTTTGAGAGTTGGCTGCTGCTCGATATCTGAGTTGTCTCGTAAATCGAACGCTTCAGGTGTATTGGGAGCTTGGGAAGCCAAGGATTTGGCTTCAGGGAGCCACCTGAAGGAAGGCGCATCCAGGGACTGGGGCTTGGAGGATATCCAGATTGCGAATGGCAAGGTAAGTGTGTGAGCAGGTGGAAGTCTGAGTGATACGCTGACGAAGCGAACCAGGTTATATCGGACCAAGGTGTTCCCGGGACGCAAGAAGAAGACAATTGTGGGCCCCAGATACATCGCAGCAGTTTGTGATAATTCTCAGAGCGATATACGGTAGTGTTTCGGAAACCTTTGACAAGTTAGACCAGGTAGAAGAATCAATAGAGTCACGCAGTAGCATGGTTTAAATGAGTCTGGATATGTGCCATCAATCTATTTTTGCGAAAGCTCCCTCCACGACCACTACCGGACGTGGTCCAGCAGTGTGATATTGCCCCCGACAAATCCCGAGCTATTGAGTGACACTACGAAGATGTCGGGCTCGATGTATTGCCAAAGTACTCCCATTGACCAGGTGACGGCTTCTCTTCTAGAGGCTCCCAGCTAAAGAATAAAATCAATAAGCGCAGAAAGACATGCTAAATCTCAAAACGCACGCCTTCCATTCAAGCATATTCTCGGCCAACTTCAGTTCATCTTTAGCAATATCCAACGACTCCTCGATTTGCCCCTCATCCAGTTGTTTCTCTACACTTGAAATGTCTCCATTTGCACCCTGTACAATGTTGAGTTTGTGTTTGGTGAGTGCCTCGACGCCCTGTCTGTAGACGGAGGTCGGCGGTATTGAAGCAAGGACGCTGAGCGTCGAATTATAAGTGTTGGAGAGTTCTGGGAGCGGATTTTGGTGGACGGCAAGACCGACAATACCAGTCGTCCTCTTAGTGACTTGTTGCAGCAATGGACGCGTGAATCTGAACATGACGGTTGCTGTTTAGCAAGAGTGTTTGATTCACTGTCTGAATTTGGAGTACAAATCGAGAAATCATAAAAGTCTTTCTACACCGTCATGGCCTCATTAGCTCTACACCAAACGCGCTCATTTATATCCACGTTCAGGTCGTCATGGGCGCAGCTGCCAGCTGCTGCTTCTCTAGCTGCTAACTTGGACCTGCGGCAAAAGTCATTCAGTTGGGCTCTACCAGGCTTGCAGTCCCTACTTGAACTGCTTCCTCCCATCGTCCTAGCAGTTCCAAAGAGTAAAATTTCTCACTCGCGAAAGTCGATGCGCAGTGCAAACAAGGGACTTAAAGACAAGCGGAGTAAGCCTCAAGTTTTTTTATCCATATCCTTCCCCCGACTGACTGACTGTTTTAAAGATATCGTCAACTGTCCAGCTTGTGGAGAGCCTAAGCTCGCTCATCATGCATGCAAAGCATGCTATTCTGCAATAATGAAGCGTTTTAGAATGGAGACTAAGAGGTTGGCAACAGAGACGACGAAACGCATGAGCGGGGGGAGCTGGTCGGAGGTCAAGGTGCCACCCATGATTGAGAGCCCTAAGGACTCATGATCTCCAGTGTACGTCCTCTCCTTATCTTCATGTCCCCATTATCTAAGTTATTGGACAGCATTTGCGCATTCCGTGCTCTAGAGTGATCTGTGCCGTGGCCCCAACGTCAGTTGGGTAGATGATATTCACTGTACTTACTTGACGACAAACTCGTAATAATCACCTTCAAGTTGTTCGAATTCTTCTTCACTTAAACAGAACGTGACTGCGTGGATATGATCTTTTGCGATTTTCTGTCGTGGTGCCCATTCAGGTCACGCAATGGATCACTGGTCGCCACTGTATTGCAGCACGAGTACAAGGGTGAAGAAAAAGTTGAGTCTAGTTTTCTCGTCAACAATAGAAACCGGCCAAAGGGCGTTGAATCTGGTCCTGTAGGATCCAGTGCCTTGCTGGCACATAACGCATATGATTGGGCTTCGTCTGTATCTTCCTTTGACCAAATGTACCACTTGACATAGATGCTCTTCTGAAAGAGCAGACAGTGTTGACGTCAGCGTTGGAAGCAAATGGCAAAGGGTACTAAGCGCATGTTTTGACGCGCGTATCGTCTGCTGGTTGTATCATACACAGGGTCCCGAATGACTGGGGCACAGCGACTTCGGAAATCATCTCGCTCAGAGGAAAGCAATAACATTTCCAACTCGTTGACGCCGCTGACGCCTCTCGCATTGTTTAGGATCACGATCGCAGTGAATCCCATCCCCGCGACCCTGATTCTAGGTCCCCCGCACCTCCTGTGTAATAAAAAACGTTGGCACTGATCCATTGATGTACTTTTTGGTCAACCGGGTAGTTCGACACCTCGAGTTGGAGGCTGGTCTCGTACACTTGGAGCTGACCACGGCGGATTTCATCCCGGCGGAAATATGATCAGCAAAGAATCCGGATGAAAGTTCTGACCCCAATTTCGCTGCAGAGTAGGGTTGCGAGTATTTTTATTGTGTTTCTTCTTTTTGCATTGATTCGATGTTCTCGGACATCGGCGTGAGTGCTAGTGATACTTCAACTCTTTTTGGTCTTTGCGAGAGGTTGTCGTCAGTGAGCACTGGCACACACGCCTCAGGGTGCCGTCGACATCGGGTATATGAACATGATGTTACATTGAAAGTTACTGTAATCTAGTCATTAATGTCAATGTCATGAACTACAGACATGTCCATACTATCTATTCGAGTATGGACTACGAAATCAAGAAGCCGTTCCAAGATGGGGGTCGTAAAGTTACTAGTCAAGAGCCAAAGGAATACTACAATCTAGAAGAAATGTTCGCCGATAGGAAAGCTCGAACATTGACTTGCAATGCATCTAACCTCAAATACAATGGAATAAAAATATTTTACAAATCCCTCTCATGGTCGTTTGAGCGATGCGAGACTTGAGAACGCCGCGAGAGAAAAACGGCGAGTGGGAACCCTCGAGACAATGGACCCCGGAAGTCCCCTCGCGTCCGCGGGGGTCGCTGTACGAGGCAACTCAACGACCCCCTCAGCGATCGCTGAGACACGCTCTCTAACGAGGACATAATGCGGAGAGAGCATAGGCGTAGACCTCCTGCGCTGTTCAGGACTTTGTGGTGAGATGCGTGGAGAAAGCCGTGTGTCGTACGACGGAGGACACGCGGAAATGACTACGATGCTCCCATCCGAGTCATCGCTTCCTGTGTGAGTGGTAACATCAAAAGCGCCGGCTTCGATGACGGCATTCCATTTACTTCTTTTGCCGCGCGTTACGAAGCGTTTGACGCGTCCGCCAATCGTCTTCGCCTTCTGCATGAATGTTCTTGACTTCATTGCAGGCGGTGCATTTGAGTTCACCACTCTCTGATTTAAGCCAGGTGGAGGCTGGCTCATGCGTTCGGTGTGTTCTGCACTAGAACCAGTGTCATCATATGCAGAAGGAGTCTCTGGCATGGTCTCTCGTCTGTTCGTCTGGACTGTAACATCTTCACGCCATCGCTCGAAACTATCAATGCTGGATGGAAAGGCTGAAGTCGAGGTCGGTGCCAACGCCAGGCGTGCTGTAGTTAGCGAGTAGGCTGAAGACATACAATTGAGAGAGGACGGTGCGGAGGGAGACGACACCGGAGTACTGTTGAGGGATGCAGACATGTTCGGTAAGAGTGCTGCGGGGAAAGAGGAAGTGGGGGATGCGACACTCGAGGTGAGTGGGCTACTTTGGGGGCTTAGGGAAGGAACTGGACCAAAAAGAGCGTTGCGGAATATGCGGTCTGTTTCTGTATTTCCACCGAGGTCGCTGAGCCAGTTGGATCCAGCAGACACCCATAGATTATCTGGTAGTTTGGGCGGTTTGTCCATTATCAGCGTCATGCTGGCCTGAGGTTTAATTATGTGAGATATTTTTGAAGGAGACGTATTTATGGCAGCAATGTCACGATTATCATGTGCCTCGGGAGTAATGGGCATTGTTGCGAAATTGCTAGGAGTTGGAGATGTCATGTTGTTTGGATCGGATGAGAAGTGACTCGAAGATGGGGTATGCTCAAGACCAGGCGTAGATGGTATACTAGAGCTCGTGTGCTCATCTGGGGTGAAATTCTTTCCAATGTATGAGGCTGGCAGGGGGGGCAGTGAAAAATCTGTGCTGAACGGGCAATACGCCAATGGTGGCACAAAGACTGGTGTTGGCACGATGATGCTTAGGGGACGGTCGCCCGCTGTACTCGTCGTGGGCATTTCAGGGGTTCCTTGCCCGGGCGAGGCAGTAATCACCTGGTCAACGTTTCGTATGATGGTCTGACCCTGGTTAGAACCTCAATGAAACGGAAATTACTTTGAGATTACAATAATCACGTACCGAGGATGAAGTAGTGGATGAAGAGATGGCTTGGTCTAACCAAGCACCTGGTATGAGTTTTGTAGGAGTTGAAGGACTGGACATGAGAGTTAACACAGAAAGAGTTAAACCGCACCTCGAAAAAAAATATGTAATTCAATTGGAATTCAATTGCCCTCGGACTTAACACGCGACGTACGAAGGGGATCAACACAACCCAAAAAGGAAGATCTATTTCTCGGCAGTTCTACAAGTCACCTCTAACTGCTGCATCCACACTCTTAGCGAAGTACTCGATGTTCCTACCATTCAATCCTGCCATCGAAATACGTCCATCCATAGTCATATAAATATGCGCCTTCTCCGCAAGGACTTTGCATTGCTCCTTATTAAGTCCGGTGAAGCTAAAAATGAAAACCAGTCGGTACCAGCAAGGGTAATATATAGTAGTACACTAACCTGAACATGCCAATCTGGCTCTTTACGTGGCTCCATTCTCCAGGTGTCCGGAAATCATTGCTCAACAGCTGGTACAAGCGTTCACGCATGTTGATAATGCGGTCCGCCATGCCTTTCACTTCACCCTCCCATTCTTGGTAGAGTTCAGGGTCCGACAAAATCGTGTTGGCAATGTGGGCACCATGCAGGGGAGGGTTCGAGTACATCGGGCGCACAATGATCTTCAATTGACTGTCCACCCGCTTTCTCTCCTCTTCATTGGCAGTCGTAAGAGAGAACGCGCCAACACGCTCTCCATACAAACCCATGTTTTTTGCGAACGACTGTGAGAGAGCAATCTGGTGGCCTTGCGAGACAAAGTATCGCACAGCAAATGCATCACGATCAGTCGAGCCCGAAGCAAAGCCCTGATATGCCATGTCAAAGAAAGGGAAAAGTTTCTTCTCAGCAACGATGTCCGAAATATCTTTCCACTGCGACTGAGTGGGGTCAACTCCAGTAGGGTTGTGTGCACAAGCATGCAGCAACACAATGGATCCTTCTGGGGCATTCTGAAAACCATCAATATGTATGACACAATTATACGAATCGAGTTGTCGTACTTGCAAGTCCTCCTTCAAGCCCTCAAAGTCCAGACCGACAGTTTTCTTGTCAAAGTACCTGTAATATTTAACCTCCAGGCCAGAATCCTTGAAAAGAGGTATGTGGTTGCCCCATGTGGGCGAGGGAACGTAAATGGTTTTGGAGTGCGGGTAGTGTCTTGCTAGGAAAGCACCACCGATTCTGAGAGCACCAGTTCCAGAGATAGACTGAGTCACCGCAATCTGAGAAGTTGCGATGTTAGCAATCATGACGACACTTCTGGGATTCAACCACAGCTTGCTCACCGCATTTTGGTTCCGTGGCACGCTAGCAGCGCCATACGCTAGTTTAGCTGCGTTGCTCGTGAAGCCAGGCAACCCGGTAATTGGGAGGTACTCCTTGTCGAGCTTAGCAGCAGAAATCTTCTCTTCAGCCTTCCGAAGAATACACGGTTAGTGGCTGCAGAGATAAGGCACTTGTTATCCCGTACCTTCTTGACTGCGTTCAAAACGTACGGCTTGCCGTCCTCGTCTCTATATGCACCAACACCAAGGTTGATTCTACGAGGGTCCTTGTCGGCTTTGAATGCCTCAGTGATACCTATGCGAACGGGTCAATCAACACTGTCAGTTTTCAGGTAAGCTAGTCCTACCGAGGATCGGGTCAGGAGGGCCGGCTGGAACGGCTGACCAAGTCGAAAGAGGTGCAGCACTGCGCAAAATTGCAGGCGCACGACGGACAGCGTTAATGGCCAGCATTAGTCTAAGGTTTGAAACTAAAACACAGAGGGAAAGTCAAGAAAGAGGATTTGAGCGGTTATTGGAAGATCAAGGAAAGTAAACTTTTATGGTGATGGCGAGGGCGGTGAAAGCCGATTTCGGCGGTAGAGCGCCGATTAGAACGTGGGTTTAACGTTTAACCCGAAACATGATAGCTCAAACTCAAGCACTGCTGTTGATCATGTGGAGCCTCTAGCAGTACCGGAACAGAGACTAATGCGCATTCGTCGGTAGGAGCTAGCTACTAAGAGCCCGTCATCAGTCAAATTCTTGCATCTAGTCATATTCTATCAATTAATACACACGGCCGAGGCCCAATAACAATTTCAAACCTAACCTCATGCTAGGGTTACAGTTGGAGCGTCACAACAATTGCATACAAATCACGTAGAGATAAGATCAGAACTTTTTGGTTGACTCGACTAGACTTTCATTCATCATCATGACCGACGTTGTTGAACAGGGCGAGGAAGGTCTGACAAAGAGTGCTCTGAAAAAGAAAGCAAAAGAGGAGGAAAAAGCTCGAAAGAAGGCAGAGAAAGCCGCGAAGGTCAAAGAGGCTGAGCAGGTCAGAGAAGCTGCAGAAGGACCCGTACGTTGATCGCATGCATGTTCTCGTTTCTTGTGTTGATTTCATATCATCGACGATCGCAGGACTATGCAGCAGCGCACTACGGAAAGCTTCCTCTGCACCAGTCCCAGTCGCGCCCAAATCGTAAGCGCACTGACATCGCGACTCTCAGCGCCAAGAATGATTCCGAACACGTTCTTCTTCGTGCTCGGATTCAAACTTCACGTCTTCAGTCAAACAAGATGGCATTTCTAAGTCTTCGTCAACGGACCGACACAATCCAGGCCATGATCGCTGTCGACGATAAACAAGTTAGCAGACAAATGGTCAAGTGGGCTGCTAGTCTTTCCGACGAGAGCATCGTCCTCGTTCATGGGACAGTAGTAAAGTCGCCAGAATCCATTAAAAGCTGCTCGATCGATGACGTTGAAATCCAAGTCAGCGAAGTATGTATTATATCTTTTCTCCTTGCACCACCTGACTTTACTTCTGATCCTCCATCAGCTCTGGTTAGTTGCAGGCCTTGAAGGTCGATTGCCATTTTCTCTTGAGGATGCATCCAGATCAGAAACTGCCCCTGAAGTCGAGGGGCAGTTCAGTAGAGTTTTACTGGACACCCGCTTGAACAACCGTATCATCGATCTCCGGGTTCGCTTCATTTTTATTCAATGATTGTCTGCTCACTCAATCTGTAGACACAAACAAATCAAGCAATTTTCAAGCTTCAACATGCCATTGGAGACCTATTCCGTGACTACCTCAACAACAACGGCTTCACCGAGATCCACAGCCCGAAATTGCAGGGAGCAGCTACCGAATCAGGGGCAACTGTCTTCAAGGTTGGGTACTTTAAAGGTTTGCTACTTGCGTTGACTCATTCGTATCATTAACTTGATCATATCCCAGGCGACGCGTTCCTCGCGCAGTCCCCTCAACTGGCCAAGCAGATGGCTATCGCCGCTGATTTTGAGCGAGTCTACGAGATCGGCCCGGTCTTCCGTGCTGAGGATTCAAATACCCACCGACATCTTACCGAGTTCATCGGCCTTGATCTGGAGATGACGATCGAAGAGCACTACCACGAGGTCAAAGAGCTTCTTGACGGAATGTTAAAGACTATCTTCAAGGGTCTGAAAGAGAGGTATGCGAAAGAGATCGCAGTGGTCGGCAAGCAATTCGAGGTGGAAGAATTCAAATGGAGAGAAGAGACCTTGACTTTGACGTTTAGAGAAGCAGTGGACCTTCTCGTCGAGGATGGTGTCGACCGCGAACATTTGGATGATATCAAGTGGGCGTTCTGAAATTTTAATGATAAATACGCTGACATCTGTGGGTTAGCACGGAGAACGAGAAGAGGCTTGGACGGCTCGTAAAGGCAAAGTATGATATCGACTACTTCATCATCGACAAGTTCCCCCTCGAGCTTCGTCCGTTCTACACCATGCCTGACCCTAATGACCCAGTACGTAAACGTGTTGTTTATCTTGGCGTGGCGCTTACTCTTTTCATCCAGACCCTCACCAACTCTTATGACTTCTTTATGCGTGGCGAGGAAATTCTTTCCGGGGCACAACGCATCCACGACCCTGAATTCCTCTGCCGGCAAATGAGAGCAAAAAGTGTTGATCCTGAGAGCATGAAGGGCTATATCGACGGATTCCGTATGGGATGCCCTCCCCATGGCGGAGGAGGCATCGGTCTCGAGCGGGTACTCATGCTGTTCTTAAAGCTGAACAACATCAGACGCGCCTCCCTCTTTCCAAGGGACCCCAAGCGCCTTGAGCCTTAGAGGAGCAATCACGAATGATACACACATAGATTGACACGAATAAATGATATCTACTGTTTGCCACATTTGTAACATCACATCGCAAGTAACCCCACCCCAAATGCTGAGTGTTGTGTCGAATTAAATTGTAAGGTGAAAGCGAAAGGTGTCCATGCGTAATACATGAGATATGTGGGTAGTAGATGTAGAGCAAAGATTGACATTCGCAACGAATTTACAGAGCATTACACAGCACAAATGATACTGGAATATTCGCGCGTTCAGGTATAATTCGGAGTCAAAGCCCTTGGGACTCACCATCAAAATCCAGTCACATAAAACCCCGTGTCACCGTCTGTCTCGTCTGCTACGACGCCTCTCTGACCGCTCGCTGTTCCCCTGACCAATTGCACTGGGAGGAATACTGCCCCCTTCCAGAGCTGCAGCGATCACATCGGCCGGTAAGTCAATATGAACGCCCTCCGCATATGTGAATGCATCCAACGGTGAATATGCTGGTGGATCGCGCCTCATAAACGTCGGAGATCTCGCTTCTGACGCGTCATCCGATCCTTCTGTCGATGCAGAGCTAGTGAAAGCCTGCAAATGAATATCACGCTGATTAGGCGTGGGCGGATTTGGCGAACGGGGCGAATCAGGCGGTGGATGCACCTGAATGGTCAAGTCGGAACCTGCGTGTTGCATCGCGGCCAGGAAGTGAGTAAAGGATTCGCGCCGAAAGCGAGGGATGCTAAAAAGGCTGCTCGCACCTGCGGCACCTTCGCTTTCTGGCGATTGTGAACGCGAGGAGGTTGGTGACTGGGAGGGGGTGCCCTCTCCGTCCTCCCGCTCGCTCTCGCCTTCTGGCGTAGGGTACAATGGAAGGGTGTGATTCGGTGGCGTGTGGAAAGGTAAATCTGTTGGAGACAGATATTCTTGGCCATTTGAGGGGTCTGTGCTGTCGGGCTCTTCGATGATGGGTGTAATCGGTGGGGGAGGACTGCTAGGATCTCCAGTATGTGATGATATGGGAGTGCCTCTAAGTGGCGAAGAAGCGACAGGAATAGATGATGCTGAGATTGCATTGCTCGGTCTTCGAGAGCGGTGAGAGCGTCTGCGGGGCGTGGAAGAAGTGCTTGGCGGAGAAATAATTGGGACGCTGGGTCGTACGCCACCTCCCACATCCAGTAAGATACTGCCTCGTTCGCTCCCATAGGCAGGTGGGGGTGCCAGAGTTCCCACGGTCGGAGCTAGACCCCACTTCTTTACGTTCGCCTCAATAAAGACGAAGCCAGCTTGGCCGAGGTTGACATGGACACTGCATGGACCATCTGCTCCAATTGTGGGAAATAGATTGTAACGATTGAGGCCGATGAAAGCATCTTCCATCTTACGACCGTTCCTAGTGAAGAACACGGTTCCTGTGCGAGGACGATAACCAATGCCAAGAACATCGCCTTCTTTGAGTAGAGGACCGAATGGTGACGCAGTGAAGGGATAATTATAACACTTGTCACCGTTGGAGTGGTAAGCGACGGAGAAAGGGTTTAGACCTGGAAGTCGGAAAGGTGGGTAGGGTTTGGTGGCCAGTCCAACGGCAACTGTAGTAGTTTCGGGAAGATCAAACATCTTGACTTCCCAATAGTAGACCTCGTTCAATTTGGGTAGGGGTAAATTTGACTGCACACACGAGGCGGATGCAGGATCGGGAAGGAAGGTGATTTCCGTGCGAGCATGAACCAAAAGTGAATTAATAGTTTCGTAGTCTGGCTCAAAGGACCATGCTGAGACACCCTTCTCCTGGATAGAAAGGAATTGAGATAACGTGATATCTGTAGGCTCTGAGTTCGGAGCATATTGCAGTTGGTAATCTGAGCGAAGAAAGGTTGCATGAATATGGGATCAAGAAATTTTGAGAAACAAAAGGGACCTTTTGCTCTGAGATATGAACGTCGAACATTTTCAGAAACACTCTCGAGCCAGCGAGACTCCACGCCTTCAAAGCCTCCTTCCCCGTCTATAAGCTCCTCTCGACTCATGTCGGTAGGTCCATCACTGTCTCGCAAGACGATACCGCGTCGTCTTCGAATAAATATAACACATACTAGAAAGATGAGGAGAATGAAAAGGAAAGTGGAGAGCACGATAAGCAAAGGCAATATGAAGAGAAGAGCATCTGGCGCAGGCTGTGAATTGAAGTTATCTCTTGAGGTCTGAAAGCTACCCAGGGAGTTGTCGACGATGTGACTGATGTTGACGACGACCTGTGTGGCCATAATGACCGATGAATTAGGTAGATTTTATGAGCAATAGCTAAGTGTGGTGTGGTGAGTACTTTAGCAAAGAAGTGTAGCTTAGCTTTGGGTGAACGGGCAGACAGGAACGTAATCCGGCATAAGCCGAGCCACTCCGGGTGATATTATTATTAATGAAGCGTGGGAAATACACCTTAAGCATTAACCTCTGCGATGAACACGACGCTCTTACCATCCGTAGCTCCCTCTCCGAAGACGCTCAAAAGAAAGGGATCGACGAGAAGACGCGCCCCCTCTCATATACCTCCACCTCAATCTCAGGAAACTCACGACGCTGCCTTACATGCCATTCGTAACCTCCTCAAAGGAAGAACTTCTTACGATGCATTCCCTGTTAGCTTCAGGCTCATAGTCCTTGACACTAAATTGAATGTCAAAAAAGCTTTACAATGTTTGCTTCTCAATGGTAATCCTTTAATCGCTACTATTCACATTTCCTCACTGTCATTACAGGTGTGGTCTCTGCACCATTATGGAACAGCGAGAAGTCAAAGTTTGCTGGGATGCTTACAGTCTTAGATATAATACATCTCATTCAATATTATTACGACACAGCAAATTATGAAGCTGCTGCAGCAGACGTGGAGACCTTTAGGCTAGAATCAATACGAGGTACATACACGGGCTGCCGCGGTACCGTATCCCTAAACTGATCATCTTCTGCTCTTAACTTAGATATCGAGAGGAGCCTTGGTGTAGCCACCCCTCCAATGCTAGCAGAACATCCAAATAGTACCCTTTACAAGGCTGCCAGAGTCTTAATTCAAACGCATGCTCGCCGATTACCTCTCCTCGATTATGATACAGAAACAGGTCACGAAGTCATCGTTTCGGTCCTCACACAGTATAGACTTCTCAAATTTATCTCTATAAATGTAACATAACGCCCTGCCTTCACGTAAGATTTTCATTCACCTTACCTTTCTAGTGCACGAGAGAGATTCAGCAACTCCATCTCTCGCTCCGGAAACTCAAGATCGGTACCTATGTTTCATCAAATCCACCGCCCCCAGACCCGGAAAACCCGGAAACTCAGAATCCATATTATCCGATCGCAACCGCCACGCTCGATACCCCTGTATTTGACGTCGTCCATATGTTTTCTGAGCGTGCCATATCTGCAGTCCCTATCATCGACCAGGACGGCGTTGTCGTGAATCTGTACGAAACAGTAGATGTGATCGTATGTCATATCCTATTATGTGGATACCAAATCTTATCCCTTTTGCAGACTCTTGTGCGTCTAGGAGCGTATCAATCCCTTGACCTTACGATATCAGAGGCCCTTAACCAACGCTCTCCGGACTTCCCGGGAGTTGTCATTTGTACAGCTGGCGATTCGCTGGGAACACTACTGGAGCTAATCAAGAAACGTAGAGTCCACCGACTTGTCGTCGTGGAAGGAGATGTAAGGCCTTGTTCTGACTACACACTCACTATACCAATCATAATCTTACAGGAGGAGGAGAAGAAAGGCGGAAAGAAAGGACGCCTGCTTGGCATAATCACACTGAGCGACGTTCTTCGGTACGTTATCGGTGAGGTGGGTATCGGCGAGTCAGTTGAGGAGATTGCGACCCTGTCCGCTGCTCCAAGCACACTGCTCTCTCCAGATGTTATTTCATGATGATGGCGCAGAGTCAGTGGAATGAGGGGTTCGTCGCAGAGTTTCAGGTTTTCGTTATCTTATGTGCTTTCAAATTCTCAGTTAGCTGGATCTGACTAGCAATTGTATGTTTTGCATGATCTGTACCCGTAGATGTCATAGGTTATACAATAATGTTGCCATCTTTGTGGGAGCAGCTGTGAATAGTAGTCAGCAGACCTGTGGAAGGCCCGTGGTCTGTAAACTTGTAGCACGCGACGGCCTCGTTGTACACAAGGCACTATACTACCAACCACCATGACTGCTATCCAAGCCGTCTACGTACGCGGGCACGAAGAACGCCCCGATCCTAAGCCTCACATTGTTTACCGCATCGAAATCCAAGCCCATGTTCGCTCATGGCAAATGTGGAGACGCTATTCGGAGTTCGTGGAATTACACACAGAACTCACAAAGTCTACAGGCTCTTCACCCCCAGCACCTCTACCACCCAAAAACTCCCTCGCCATCCTCCGCGGACCTTTCAGAGATAGTAGTAGCATGACCGAGGAGCGCAGGGCTGGCCTCGAGACATACTTGCGTGCCATAATCAGCGCAAAGGATGATAAATGGCGAGAATGCTATGCCTTCCGCGACTTCCTTGGTGTGCCAGTCGGCCGCTTGGGCACCATGGCTGAAGGCAGCACGTCCTCTAAACAGTTCTCTTCTTCCTCCTGGCTCGACGAGCACCTCGAGCTGCAGGCCAAGATTCGTGACATTCGCGCAGACATAAACAAGCGGGATGCGCTCTCTGACCGGGGAGACGTCAGTGCATCGCATACCGCGAATGTTCAAGCGAAGAAGAAGCTCGCGGAAACCCTTTCTCGGGTGCGTACGCTCAAGCAGGGTCTCCAGGAACTCGGCATGGCAGCTATGGCGCAGGGAGAGCTGCAACGCCGTACAGACATGGTCGCACGCTTGCAGGACGACTGCGAGAAGCTGGGAAAGATGGTCACCGTCACTCGACAGGCTGCTCGTCCTACGGCAGCCCCTTCCTCACAGGGCTTCACAAATGTTGCTGTCGCTCCCGAGTCGGATCGGGCTGCACTGCTGAGCCTTAGCAAACCAGTCACGCGAGTGTTTGGGGCTAAGAAACCTCAAGAGACGGAGGTGACGAGACCGCTTGACGATCAGGGTCTTGTGCAGTTGCAGAACACTCAGATGGAGCAGCAGGATGGTCAACTTGCTACACTCACGCATATACTACAACGCCAGAGGCACCTTGGGGAAGCAATCGGTGCTGAGCTTGCGGTGCACAACGAGTTGTTGGATGAACTTAATAACGATGTTGAACGTGTTGGGGGTAAACTCAGTAGCGCAAAGAAGCAGCTCAACCGCCTGGGATGAGTGAGATCAGGACGGTTTTCCAATTTTGACTAGGGATGTACGAAGTGCTACACATATACCAATAGTTAACATCTAGAACACATTGAATTAATGTAGATGATGATGATGATGATGACGATGCATTGATGCTCCATGTAAATATAATATAGGTCTAGTTAATCCTGTTCCTTCTCCAGAAACTTGCCAACTCCCTAGAATGACTTGGTAAGCTGCAAGTTTTAACAGCGTAGAGTAACCATACCTCAAAACATGCAATCATGATCCCGCAAGCTGGGGCAATCTTGGCTGTACGAGGAAGAACGCCAGCAAACAAGGCAGCGGTGCCTTCAGTGCGAACGATATGAGCCAACAGTGGTATCGTAGCTGAAGTCTGTGATGACATGGTTCCAGTCATGAGAAGCGCTTGCCGTCTGGTTTTCAAAACATCGAAGGGTGAAGTTACTAATGACGCGGTCGTCCCACTGATAGCACCGCATGCAAAGGCAACGTATGCCCCCTTCTTTCCTCGGCTCTCAAAAAATCTTTTCCAAGCATCGTAGCCCGCCCAATATATGCCACTAAAAGGCACATCACGCCACAAGGTAGGACCAACACCACGCCACAGGAAGGACATGCCCTGTTTCTGGACGATTGAACGCACGGAAGCGAGGACAGATGGAAGTGTATGTGGTTTGTCGGGGGATGCTGGAGTCGATTGCAGGTTGGTTCGTACGAGCTCTAGTGGTGAGAATAGGGAAGTAAGAGAAGCGCGAGCGGTAATACCAGCTATGAGAGGGATAAACGTAGGGGAGGGAATAAGGGGAGGGAGTACATTTCGTAGAAGATGGTCATAAGTGAGCATGTATATCGATGATGAGGGAACGCCGATGAGTCTATTGCATGATGAGGGCTGTGACCAACAAATGAATCGAGTTAGCTTACAGTGTTGTGCCAACACCTTTCCATAATCCCCTCATACCTTCTGCTCGCCACACATGGCGGACAGCATCCAAGAACCCATTCACACGTTCTGTGCGGTAGATGCCATGATCGAAAATGCAGACGACCTCTTCTGTGGCTAGCGGACGTGCATACGAGGACATGTTGCGTACGCAAGGTATATGTGCCGGTTGACAGCATTTATTAAGTGGTGGTGGTGAAAAGAGAGGCATCCTGGGTTGAGTCTGAAGACGGGTCTTCACGACGTCAAAAGGAGTCACTGAATATAATAAATATCAATGAATGAAGAAATGATTGAAACATACTTGTAAGTGCGGTCATCGTTGACCCCGTCGCCGCAGCTACGAGTTTAGCATGGAACGAATCCATGACGGAGGAGGAACAGAAATTATTCTGGCTGGCGTGACGGTTCCCGGTGTGCCGGCGGTATCACGGAATACCGGCAATGACCGGGAAATTAATTTTGTGAACAAGTAAATAAACTTGTTGATCACACACAACAACCGACCCCCGGAAGCCTTCGCCAACTCAAAGAACTGATTTCAAGCTTCATTCGATCCTTTGATCAATATCTTTTCAATCTTGTTAACAGACTTTGATAGTCTTGAAATTCAAAAGCAACAGGATTGCAAACCCCGCTCACTTCACCATGGCTGCTCTACCTGCCTCCTTTCAGCATGCTAACAAGGCTGCTATCGCCGCGGCTCTTGCTGAGAATTCAGAATCTATTGGAGCAGACGTAGAACCTGGTGAAATTCAAGAAGTAGATATGCAAGCGCAGGCAGACGACATTCGCACCGTCTTCAGTCACCCTACCAGCTTCAATGTAAAGGTGAGCAACCGAATTGACTCGCCGCTCTAGAGTGTTCATTTTTCTCCTATACAGCATCCTCTATACTCACCGTGGACCCTTTGGTTCGATTCCCCTGCTACTAAAGGCCGTAACCTCCCCCAAACTCCCATTTCTTCCTTCCCCCAAACTCCCGTTCCTCAGACTCCCGGTGTTGCAGCTGCACAGGGATGGATGGAGGATATCAAAAGAGTTGTCAGCTTCGACAGTGTTGAAGAGTTTTGGGGGTAAGTCCTTTTCTCCTATGTCGAAGACTGAAAGCTTACCAAGGCATAGCCTCTACAATCATATTGTACCTCCTTCACAGCTCCCCCAGAAAGCAAATTACTACCTCTTCAAGGTACGTATTTCGTACAATCGTATCTTTGTTTACCTAACAGCGCTTTCAGGAGGGTATCATACCTGCATGGGAAGATGAAGCCAACAAGAATGGAGGCAAGTGGAGTATACAGCTGCCCAAAGAGAAGAATCGCAGTCAGGTTGATAAAATGTGGCTTTACACCGTACGTCTCCCTTTCATCTCTTGATCTTCTTATTTTGATTGCTGCATAAAGATGCTTGCTGCTATTGGTGAAACCTTCGATCCTCATCTTACAAGCGGGGAGGCAACTGAACCCAATACTCAATCGCTTATCACCGGTGTGATCGTATCTACCCGACCGCAGTTCTACCGTTTATCAATTTGGACGCGCCTTGCGCCTTCTGGAGATGAGGACAAGTTACGTGAACGCATCGAGACAGTTGGACGGCACTTCAAGATTAATGTACTAGGCTATCCCGAGACCCAAAAACTGGCCGGTCCTCTCGCAACCGAGGTTGAGTTCCTTTCGCACAAGGATTCTGAGAAGAAGGGCAAGGCAGCGAAGAAGCTTGTCATTTGAGTGGGTGCATAAGTTTGCTATTATATCGATTGAGCAAAGTTATAAATAGATTTGCTGGATATGCCTGATTCATTTGTATGGTGTCCGGATGAATATTCTCATTTCAAGCTCATGCTGCTGCTGCGATACACAATATTGAAATCACTCTGTCCGTACCTGAAGCTGTGCATTGCTGTGCACCCTTGGCGGTGCAACTGCGTAACGCTGCGTGTGACGCAATTGATGTGACTGCGTATTGTCTCCTGTATAAAGACCCTACGACAACAGCTCCAAACGCGATTAAATCTCTCTCTAACCACTAACCTTAGGCTATTCCACTCCATGTCAGTGTCAAGTTTCTTGTCATCGTTTGCCGATAAGGCACAGAGTGCCATCAATCAGACCCCTCTCGCTGGCCATATCCCCGGCACCACCGCCGACCAACCATCTGCCAATCAATCCGCAGCTCAGGGCGGCCATCGTTCAGTGACTTTGGAGGCACTGCAGCATCAATTTCGCACAATTGGACAACAATATACCACCACCACACCAGTGCAAAGAATCATCACATCTGAAAAGGGTGTTGCAATCGATTGCGATGCCCTTGCTAGGGATGCGAAGGTGCAAAGCAAGGAATTGTACACATGGGGTCAGACACAGCCAGAAGATCTTAAGGATGGTAGGCCACCTCTTCCCCAATAACGGGATTTGAGCTAATGAGAGGTTTGACATTTAGTAACGGACAGATTGGCGTACTTGAACTTTGTTCAGGGATCTCTTGCATCATCTGTTGCGATCAAGCTCAACAATGCACGAGCGCCGTTCAAAGCTCTTCGCGATGCCGAGGCTGTCCTTGGTCCAAAGCGCAACTTCCGTGCTGGATTGCGCACCCAGATTTCTCGTATGGAGCATAATCTGGAGAAGGGCATGGAGCAGAAGCTTTCTGAACTAAAACAGACACTCGCCAAGGCTGAACATGTCGACGAGCCCCTCGAAAAGGAACATGAGATCTTGAAGCGAAAGGCAGTTCGTGAGAGCGAATCGCAAAAGTGGGACGCTATACGCGAGGTAAATTACTTTGTGCTGCTATGAAGGTGTCCTGACACAATTTTTTGCAGTTTGGAGAAAAACTAGTCATATTATCACAGGCTTCCAAGCCCATTATTGCCGCCTTGCCACCAATTCCGCCTTCACCTTCAAGTCCTTATACAGGAACTCAGGAAACAGCCACTGCTCGCGCTGCGCTTCAGAACGCACTGGATAATTATACTCCCGGGAGTACATACTTTGCCACACACCCCGGTGCAAATCTTTCACGGGCTAACACCCAATCATTTGGGGAGAGTCACGCTTCGGAACTGGACAGTCTTGCATCCAACCCTGAAGCAAACGCTGGTCATCCAGGTGTGCCCATCACACCTCCACCTCAAGACGCAGAAAAGTTCGGAGACGCGTCGCACTCTCCTCCTCCTATTGACCCGAGGACACTCAATCTATCTCCTGCACCAATTCCGGAGGATCACTCGCTTCCTCCCATCGCAATCCCGGTAGATGCACCTACGGTGGCTGAAACTGGTGTTCCCGTACTTGCGAGTGCATCTGGTCCAGGCCCTGCTAGCGGCTCTCTTCGTGACATACGCCGTGCCTCAGATGCTGCGGGACCACGCAGTGGTGGTCTCCCGGGAAACTCACCATTTGATGATCTATATGGACAGCCACACGAGACCGCAGCAGAAGAGAAGAGTCGCCTTGAGCGCGAGGAACGCGAGCGGGTATCCGCAGCGGGGACATCCTCTACTTCTGAACATGAGTCTGCCGAGGAGGAGAAGAAAAGACTTGAACGGGAAGAGAGAGAACGTGTTCTTGCTAGCGCTGGCACTGACAGCGGAAATGTACGCAGCGAGGTCAAAGATGGTGATGAGCTTCCCCCATACCAGGACATTGAATAAGTAGGGTCTGATATTATTTATCGTCAATATCTCAATTACTTTGTGGATTTTTTTCGTATGCATTTACAAGTTGTACCATTCTTATGCAATGTATTGATTCCATTCATATACCCAAAGTTCGCCAAGATCAATGGAGATTGGAAGCTTCTAATCTGCAGGGAAGAGATAACTTTTTGAGATAATCAGTGATTATCTGGTGGTCTGTAACCTTAACCCTAATAAACCCCAAAGGTGTACTACGCACGGTCCTCCTCAAGTTGTTACTCTCCAACTACTCCAACATTACCTTGAAGATGGACACTACGGATCTCGAGACATATCAAGTTCAGCTCTCCCAGGTCGAGCTCGCACTCCAAACAGATACTGAAAATGCCGAACTCCTCTCCCTCCGTTCGGAACTACAAGAACTTATCTCTCTCACCCAACAGTCGCTTGCCCAAGCCGCTTCCTCATCACGTACAGATTCTGTCCGTAAAACAGCAAACTCAACACCTTCACACACATGGACTGCAGGAAGCGACTGTCTTGCCAAATACTCAGGTGATGGCAATTGGTATCCTGCACGCATTACCAGCGTCGGTGGCTCCGCAGAGAACCCTGTATACAGCATCATGTTCAAAGGCTACAATACGACGGAATTGATAAAAGGGTCAGAAATCAAGGCACTACCAGCAAATCATCAGGAGAAAGTATCAGCGCCGAGCAAAAGAAAGCTAACCAAAGCAGAGGACGAGGAGAGGGATCGGAAGAAGAAGCGCAACGAGAAAAAACTGGAGGTCAAAGCTGCAAAAGCCAAGGAGCAACTCGCAAAACAGGCGACGTGGCAGAAGTTTGCTAAGAAGTCTGAGAAGAAGGGCGTCCATATTGCCGGTGTGGCAGGCACCAGCATCTTCAAGACGCCCGACAACCCATTAGGCCGTGGTGCGTATCGTTTCAGTTGGTTTGAACGCAGACTTCTTGATTTCTGATAACGGCCTTGTAGTCGGCGTTACCGGCAGCGGAAAAGGAATGACGGAAGTGGCGATTCGAGGCAAGCATAAATTTGCTCCAACCGACGAACCAAATGCGTAGATGGCGCAGTCAGGGTCCTCTCCTCCATAAGTAAGTATGTATCGTACTCATCGCCTCGGAAGCGAGGGGTGTCATGATTCGTGTGATGCTAATTGTCCGTCAACAGCTCGAACTTGACGTCGTCTTATCAAACTATACTAGATGCCCGTTGATGATTCTGTGTTTCCCGTCAATAGCAGGTTTCGCGGGCAGAGACTGGTGTCAATGACGCTTGCAAGTATTGATACCGATAATCTATATGTGATGCATTTCCCCTCTTCTACTTGTTATCAGGATCTCATCGCCGCTTTTCTTCTTTCTCACCTTATTTATCAGAGACTTCGTTGCTGTCGGCACTTGCGAAGCCGATGTCCGTTGGTGTAATCGTACGTTTGTTATGCGTTATTTTGTGCAGAATACGCTTAGACTCACAACTGTGATGCGTGAAACGGTCCTTGATGGTGCATATGCAGAATGTTCGCATAGTGCACCATATGGCGACAGCATGATGCGATACGCGAGAAGAATCTAGAAGAGGATGGTTGTCAATGGTGTATCTCGACGTTCATCTGACGATTACTTACTGATGAGTGGCTCGTATGAATGCCGTTCTTCATCGTCACCTTCAAATTGGAATGCGTATCGCAAACAGCAATCGGTGGGCCATTAATATTTTAATTCTTAGTGCACAAAGAAGTTGGAGTGATCTGTGCAGATTGCGTTTTGATTTGAACGATCTGGGTGAGCTGTGCTTCTTTGCCGCCTTCCACTTTAAATTGAACCATGTTCGCTTCTCGTGATTGTGCGTGACACCGTCGCTGGCATGTACCTGACCACCTGCGTCGAAGATGTGATACGGCGCTTAAACCAGTATCAAGTAAGTATTTTGCGAGGTGGCAGCGCAAATTGATTTTGCCGATATTACTAGCAAACCAACGACTTTCGTATCAAAACAATCTGTTATTTTATTCGGTTGGGCGCTTCTATCTGCGAAGTTGGACAAACACAAAAGGTCCCGTTCAGTTTTCAAGGGGGTAGCACCACCCATTCGAACGGTGGTGGGGAACTATGTCAACTTGTATGCCAGTTAGGATCAAATTATGGTTGATTCCTCAAATTTTGAGTACTGCGCGCGGTTCTGTTGCCAGAGGATCTCTCAGCTGGAAAGTCAGAAAGTCCGGTCGAGATAAGCGGACACTGGCTCAATATACACGATTAATGGTCACAACGGCTGGTTATGGGAGTTCTCGAGAGCGCACCGCTTGACGCATTTGCCAATTTTAGAAATGATGAGACCAAAGTTGTTTACGACGTAAAAGCGGGTGCCCTGCTGACAACTCGAAGGTGGATGAAATCTGGTCCGAGTCTGTCGATATGAAGGTTGCTGTCAGACTCATCTTCCACGGAAATGAGCCCTTGGAGAGAAGGCCGCTCGCTGGACAATGTACGCAGTACTATCTCTTGATGCCGTTAGCGATTGCTCAACGCTCGCTGAGGCTCGTTGACTTGAATGTGATGTTGAATTTTGTTCCTCGAGTATGCGTGGTCGATGTTTCACATCTGAAATGGTGACGAAGGTCGGTGGTCTTCAGCGGCTTTATAAATGATGAGATTTTCAGATCACGATACCACGGCTTCTTGATCGCATGTGTTAATATGGGACGTGCATTCGTCTTTTACATAGCGCTTGTCGTCCCCTTTCTCCGACGGGCTGGGTGTCCAGGGCTTGACCAGGTGTGGCGTTGACCGGGGACTTGGTTGCTGATTGATTGGTGTCTAGTCCGAGGGGAGGAGGACAGGACGAGTTAGGTATTCTGGACGACTATAATCCGAGTGATTGATGCTCCCCGACGGTCCTTCTGGCGATTAATTGTTGACGGGGTACATGGATTCGGAAGTAGGAAGGGAAGGGAAGGTGAGCGTGCATTCTGTGCCTTGCTTCGGATGATTGGCATATACGTGTAACCATGAACGCAGTTCAGAACCGCAGCAGCTTGCAGACGTAGGTAATGGAGGAGCCATACGCGCTTGCGATATCGCTTGAGCTGACCGAGGAACGCCACTTGTCAAGCGTATGCTACCAGTCCCATAAACGGAAATGGTCCCCCAAGTACTATGAAATTCAATCTGTCGGTTCGCCTTCGGCCGCCTTCTGTTAGATTCGCAGGTGCATTGCGACTTTGGGAACGCGTTACTTGGACAGTTCTACTGCTCAACGATGAATGTCTGGAACTGAGTGAATGTGGTGGGGGATGTCTTTCTAGAACTGAGTATGACCCCCCAGTCGAACGGTCCAAAGAACACCTCGAGTATTGGTGCCGGCCCCTGACCATGGCGAAGCATGCGCGCCAGATTGATTAAAGACGCCTGATCAATAGCTCTCCGTACGATTCTGGGTAGCTGGAAATCGTTCTGGATGTCATTAATTAGGTAGACTTTGGTATGTAGGAGCGACATCTGGGGGCCCAGTTGTTGGGCGTGTGGGTAGTAAGTTACCAGAGCCGAGAAGTCGGGCCATATTGCTCGTTAGAGGCATGGTCACTCGTCTTGTATCGGCCCGGGTAAAGTGTGGTACCATGTTCTGTAGCACGACTTGTCATTAATCAGCTCCATGAGGCGCAACTGCCGGTATCGGAGACCTGCTCATCATAACAGTTGCTCACATTTCCTCAGACGACTTAAAGTTGCCCGCAATGCTATCTAAATACATACACAAACTGTAACCACTTGGACGATGAAATACAAAAGAAATCAATGCGACGGAGAACAGGCAGAATGAACGGGAACCATTACTAGTATCCTGAAGGCAGAACGGACCGTTATCTTAGTCGGAGGTGAGCTGACGTTGGTCAACACCGCTCAACGATATACCGGTTCCTAAAAATACGCGATCGCCATCTCTAGTAGTAGCACCGATATTCGCGGAGTCAGATGGGTAGCTGCTAGTCGTCTGATCGATGACATCAACAGAATGTCGTCTCATGGGAAATCCTGCCCCATGCGCCGCCATTACTTCACCGGAGAGATCCAAAAACTGCGGAGTGATCGTAAGTGCTCCACAGAGGAATGGAAGGAGCGGTTCACTTACCACCTGCTCCTCTTCCAGCGTATTTTCATGAAGGCGGCGGTTTGTGTTTTGCATGTGCACGAGCAATGTTCTGATGCTGCGAGAGCTCAGACCCCGATAGGTAGAAACGCGCTCGAGGTCAAGCGGAGCTGTATTGACGAGACGCAGTTGCTCGTGCAAATACAACACATAATGTTCGAGACACTCCAGATAGTGGCGTTTTTTCTCGTGTGACGAAATAGTGTCGCTGGAAAATATCGGTCAAGGTCTGGAGGTGAATTCGTTGAAACAAAACAACTTACGGATCGGTAGGAATAAAACCTATCTCTTCGGCAACGGCACGTTGTCGTGCCTTGCGTTGACTTTCTGTCTTACTCGTGTTAGGTGCAGCGGAGGTAGGAGGCTCAGTGCTACGTTCACTGCTCTGAGACTGCTCGCGCTGTGTCTGGTGAGACAAGGACGAGGAGGCTGAGAGAGGGGTGGGTATTTGAACAGACGGTGTTGAAAGGTCTGTAAGAAGTTCCGAGGGGGTTGGGAAAAGAAGTTGGGGGGCATTTGCATAATAATCGAGGATATCGGCATTGGACTGCGGGGGTGCTTGATTTAAAGAAGGGGGGTATGGGACGTGGTGGTCATAGTACGTTTGCTCCACGTATGGTGGTGTGATTTGACGAGAAAAGTTTGGCACATGAGGTGGGCCGTAGGGGACTGGGACTGGAGTATGCAAATGCATCTCTGGCGTGTCTGAGTAGTCGTAAGACGGGTAAGAATAATTCAAGGGGATCGATGGATCTTCATGCAAGCTGTAGGGGTCACGTCTAGCGGTAGTGTTGTTGTAGTCTGCAAGATGCAAGCTAGTGTGGTCAGTAAATTGTTGATGGTATTGAGGATCAAAGTCAGTAGTGGGATACATGATTGCTGGGGTTCGAAATGTGCAAAGGGGGAGGCTAAATAGAGAGAAATAATATTAAGATGACATGTGGTATATAATTGATTAGATTCGTTAAATGGAAACTAGGTGCCGAGGTGAAATTGGGAAATGAATGTTGGCCGATGAGAGGCAAGGTTCAGGGCAAGACTCTGTTATGGATACTCGCAGATCATTAGCCGTAATACCGCAAGAGTTGTTTGTGACAAAGGCTAATTCAGTTGAATGATCAACGTGAGATGTCAGCCTCAAATCGTACTTGTCCGAGGGTTAACCGTGAGAATATAAGACGGGTACTCGCGGACTTGAATTTAGATTGTCGCGGTCGTCTTCCACCTCTTAAGCGCCGCGGGCCCGGATCGTGGCGCCAGAAGCCTATCCCGGACAAACTGCGGCTGAATCCTACCACGACGGAGAAGTAGTAACAAGATTGGCGATCTTAATTTAAACCAGTTCGGCCACTCCAATGTTATATATATATATAATATTTACTCTCTCAATATTCCCTTCATTCCAATGAATTCTACAATCTCCATCTACCCCATGTCCACCTCATACCACGACTCACCACACCCTTACCATTACTCCCCATATCTCTTTCCACAACAGAAAGATCACTCTTCCTTCATAAAGTCTAGACTATCCGAGAGCCCCGTATCTACAGACCAATCTTCTGATACCTCCTCCGTCGAACACCCATCTCGTGATAATTCACATAGAGCATCTCGTTTCACTATCGCACACCCATACGCACGCCTTTACGCAAAGAAGGACGGTTCCAAGCGACGAAAAATATGGAACCATGTCCTTGAGAAACAACTCTTTTCTCCTCAGGAATTGTCCGTCCTTCATTCATTCACTTCAACTCGTTCACCCATTAATTTCGCTTTCAGGTCAACAATGGGCGCACCACACAGGCGCACCATTTACATCGCCTCTCTCGAGGCGCACATCGATCGGTTACACAACCAGCTGCTCGGGATCGGCCTTTACCCAATCCCATTTCAACGCCTCGAGCCATACCGGGGCCTCAATTCAAAGACGGCCAAGGTAATAATTCAATTTATATTTATATTTTAATCCAACCGCTCATTTTATTTTTACAAAGAGTATGGTAGCTGGATTACAGCACGATGCTACCCACACAAAGCTCAAGTTGCTAGAACTGGAACGTTCGGTACATTTTTCGTTTATTCACCTCCAAAATCACATATTAAACTAGCTTTATCGTAGAATAATAATCTGCACAAGCTGCTCGGCACCCAGGCAACTTCAACTTCCTCCATTTCTCTTGAAGCAGATGTACGCCGTCACTCTATGGATTCACCCGGAATGGCCTTAAATGCAAGGACCGCCATCAATTCCACAGGCCCGATGATCATGGATTCCCTTGCCTATTCGGCAAGATCATAGTCCCCTATTTCGCTGCATTCCAGGGTTCCACTCGCCATGTGGTCATTCATGAAACCAACTTATGTATTTCTTTAATCGCTTGTTCATCGCACTTGTATCGTACATAATCGAACCACGGCATTCCCTATTACTTATGCTACTGCTTACGAGGCCACCAGTATATAATAGACCTCCCATCTGCAAGGTTCAACAACGTGTACACTAGATATATTGTTCCCAAATGTGACTACCTCGGGAAACGCCTATAATGTCTCATCGCCTTCTTGTTCTTTCACCTCGATGTCTTTCGTAATCGGCAGCCGCTGCTGGTCCGTAGTTATCGGCAATTAATGCTTCAGATTGAACCCTCAGCCTAATGGTGCACGGGTACATCACAACCGTCTTCGCGGCCCCGGCGCTGCCTTCATTTTAGCTCGTTTGAAATTCATGTCCATGTGGGCTCCCATGAATTCAATCACATGTCAACCGCCCCAGACTTTCGATGGTGACTGCGTGCTACAAACGTTTCCAAGGACGTACAAAGGACACTCGTCATTAATCATTCCCAAAGTTCCGACGATCACTACTAACTCCTTAAAACAGTATCGCCGCCCTCGTGTTACTGCCATAGGGGGGTGAGGAGAACTTTGTTCCATTATCAGCTACGACGATCCAGAATTTCGAAAGTGAACAACCCTTGTAGTAATGTGTTAGGAACCCGAACAGCTTTGGATCATCCGTTTCAACTCGTAATTCGACATAGGGTCTTCAACCCCGAATGACAATCAATCTGATTTTCTTTACTCCCATATTCCGCTTTTGTCAAGTTTGACCCGCGTGTCCTGCTTGGCTTTGCTTCCTTGCGGCCGTCCGGCTCTCTGTGCACCACGTTTTGTGTGATACTTTTTTTGCTGGCGCGAACGCTTGGCGAGGTCAGATGCGACTCTCTCCCGAAAAGCAGCATCCTGTAGGCTCAGAGAAGCAGCCATCTTTGCCAAGCTATCAGGCGAAGGCGAGCGGGAGCGTGGCGGTGATCTTGACAACCGAGACATGCGGCTGTTGGGCCGGGAAATTGGGTCCGGGGAGTTGACCGTATCAGTGCTTGGCCCAGGTTGTGAACACGATGGCACTTTGGTGCTTAGAGGGGTTTGCATGCCTTCATGTTCTTGCATCTCCGATTCACTGTGCCCATCACCGGTTTCAACCTGGACGTTGTCATCGTGGCTGTCCAGAACGTCGTCAGCTTCGCCCTCGTCACTTTCTTCCTCTTCCTCCTCTTCTTCCTCTTCATCGGAGCTGTTTTCATCTGCGTCATCCTGAAGTTCATTTGCTCGGACAACTTCCATATACTACAGCGTTATTCATAAGGGCTCGAAAGGTGTTAGGTGCAAGGGTCCTCACCTCCTCTAAAGTGTTTTGGTCCTTCTTCGCAAAACCGCTAGCTGCAACCATTACATCCAATCGGAAACCATCATTTTCACCATTTGATTCGGCTTTGACAGTCTTGAATCTGGGGTACAACGCACTTTCGTACTTGAAACGTCGGCGGAAAAAGGTACGTATACATTCCACATCGCGATTGAAGTACCTTGATGAACACATTAGGCTGTGTCAAATAAGGTCGAGTACGGCGATTGCGCACCATTCAGCATTTTCGTGTGACGTGCTGACCATCTGCGGAAAATCAATGACTATCGGTTCGCCACTCTCTCGTCGAATCAGGATATTGAATTCGTTATAATCGCCATGAATAAGCCCCGCCCGCGCAAATCGTACAATGATATCCATTAACGTCGAGTATAACTTGCCCGGCGAGGGAACGTCAGCAATCTGTCGTCTGAGTCTATTATGAGAAACAAAGAGAGTGCCGATGCAAGCGTGCGCTTACAGCGGATATGCATCGATTGCTTCCATAAGGATGCAATGTCTGGCCTGATCAACAGGCCGGGGGACCGGAAAATCATGTTCGTGAAGGATCTGCGGTCATTCCGTCAGCGCCACGCTCTCAGTAGATTAGATTGCATCACAAGTCCTGCAGCTAACTGACTTTCATAAAAGCCCATTCTTTCTGCGCCGCTAATCGCGACATATACATCCACGACGCCGACTTGCGCTTTCCCATATAATCTCTTTTTTCCTTGATGGCACGAAATGAAATACGGCCTAGCCTAATTCCATGAGTGCAAAGTTCATGTAACCTAGTAGCCTCGTCACCAGCTTACCTGTGTAGTTTAAGGACCAATTGATTACCCTCCGCATCTGCAACTATGTACACATCTGTGCCGTGTGATCAGTCATTCCATAGGTGAATATATTGAGAATCGCTAAAGCGAACCCACCAGCCTCCTTCCCGACACCAATCTGGTTTCCAACAGAGTACATCGAGTCTCGCTTGGATAATGCACGCATAGCCAGATAATCATATCCGCCATACGTTAATCTATATCCATCATCTATCACCGAAAGTCAGGCTTACAAGGAAGAATAGACAAAAGGGCATGTACTAACACTTCGAGTTCTGCACTTTGGCGACTAAATTGCGTTTCGCCAAACTCCCGATCAGCTTGTTAACGCCCCCATTTCGAAGGCCGGAGATTTGTACGATGAGGGGAGTTGGGACAACTTCGTGGTTCTTCGATCCAATTTCCACCTGCGTTCGAGTGTTTTGAGATACGGCCATCATCAGTTTGACGAAGGACCCCCTTACTTACTGAAGTTAGTATCCGAAATTCATCCGAGGTGATGTATCGCAGATCTGTTGCGTCTAGCTTCATATTTTGCTTGTTCTGCTGCTAGCCGCGAGTATGGCACAAAGTGAAGTGAGTGAGACTCGGTACGCGAGCTGCGACTGCGATGTAGAACGAACTTGCAATCAAAAATCTCCGCAAACTAATATTGCCAAATTGGAAATTACCAACCAATTACGACGTAAGTTAACCTTTCATCAACTAAATTATTCTTGGTTACGAGTTGGTGCGTGAAGACTACTCGCGGTGTGTTTTCGGTGTTGATATCATTATCAGACCGCGACCGTTCAATAACTCAGTGGCCTCGCACAGAATGCGGTCTAGTGCAGTAAATAGAGCCAACAAGGTTTTCCGCGTCTTGTTTGACAGAAAACCTCACTCGAACCATAGCTTAGGCGACTTCAGCACAGCTCGAAGCCTGCATCTCGACATCTAGAGAGTTGAATGGCACCAGGTATGTCTTATGCGGTTTGTCTTGTAAATTGCGACATGTTTGTTCACATAACCATACGATTAGATTGCATTTCGCCGTGAAGACTTCTTCAGAGCTGTCCGACGTTGAATCCGAGCGAATATGGAACATTTTCGAGTCCAATATGCACCTGTTGTGAGCTCATGCTATGCTTCATCTTCAAGTATCTCATCATTTACCCCGCTCAGCTACACGACATCTTCATTTGGCTGGGATCCTCGTTCAAAGAAAGAAGAGATGTTTCACCCACACGCTCGGCTCGTCTTATGTGAGCGACGCGATGATACGCCCTCAGGTAGTGAATCAATTCCGTCAGAATCTCGGATAGTCGCATATACTATCTTCCGCTTTGAACGTGAAGCCAAACAAGATGTGGTGTATTGGTGGGTACAATGCTGCAGGTTGGAGGCTCCTAGCTCATTGATCCATGGAAGTTATGAACTCCAAGTGACCGAAGAATCTCGAGGACTCGGGGTTGGAAAGCTCTTGATGGGCTCTCTGTTCGACATTGGCTCACGATGGAGGATGAAGAATGTCATGTTGACCGTCTTTAAAGGTAAGCTCCGATACACAGCTTCAACTTGCCCTATCCTCATAAATAGTAGCCAATGATGCTGCGTCTGCTTTCTATAAATCTTTGGGGTGTGTTCACTTCATTTACATCCCTTGCACCTCATTGACCAATGAATTTAGCTTTGATCTCGATCCTAGTTCACCTGGATATGTGGAGGGTGACTGGCAAGATGAGGAACTAGACTGCGACTACGTCATTTTGTCCAAATCTATACCGTGATGATTGATAATATCACTCTTAATTATAGGAACTACTCATGTTATAGATCCAAGGACGGAACTTGGTTCTGCGGAAGCAATTCGCGTAACCCTCATGTGTGAACTCGCACCTCAAGCCGTCTTGTTATGCACTCCGCCGCTACATAGCGGGCACATCGCGCTAGGTGCGAATACCCCTACCCGCCACATGTGGCACGAGTGCCACTACAGATAGGTGGCTGGGTTTGGTACACAGTACTACTGTGCTTCTGGTGACGGGTCACTCTCTACGCAGCTAGCGCTGACCTTCCGAATCCTATCTCGATTTTCACTTTTGGTTGTAGAATGGTTTACGGCCAGCATATGCGACAACTTTCGGCGGCTTGCAACTTCTTGCCACTCATCCCAACGTATGAAGGTGAGCGTATGATCCGACATCTCTCGTATATGTATAGACTTGAGTTCGTGCCTTAGATATAGATCCGCTTGGTTGGCAGTCTTGCGATATTAATATTCTGAGGCATCACTGCTTGGGGGCCATCGATGTTGTCATGGAGGAGCTATTTCTGCCCAGGTGCTTTACGCCAAGCGTTCACATGACTATCAATTAGGGGCATGCACAAGAGTTCTTCGTCATCCTGGAGCAGAACTAGCTTGACTCCACCCGGCGCAATATTCGAGTACACTCCTCTTGTAAGTACCAAAAGCAAGACTTATGCCGTTGAACGATGTCTCGAAGATCTTACAGGCGCCAGAACGCCTCTCAATCGAGAACGTGATCCAGAAGATCCATGCCGTACAGGTTCAATCAGCTAGATAACATGCTCGGTCTTATCTGGCAAACTTTGCTAGGACATTTTTGCGAGCACGTAGACAAGTCGAGTGACCTGTGGCGCGGCTCTTGAAAAACATCAGACTTTGTCCTTCTGTTCTCAATGGGATTTCCAGAATTCAAACATCGCAATGTACTATGGCTTATGTCATGTTAGATGAAGGCGAGCCCTTTTAATCATCAAGCTCTGTCACAGCTCCTTTGCTAATTAGTAATAGCCTGCTCTTGATTGAGATAAGATCATTCTCATTCGTCGCTCCGTCAATTTGGGCCTTAAGCCCATGATGCATTCATGAATGTTTGAACCCCGCTTCCGCTCTTGCCGCAACGAAGATAAATCCTGACGTACAATCAGCACTAATTTGCAGAGGAACTCTTTGTAGTATGGACCTCGTCGCCCTCTTGGGCAATTCACGTGTCAGCTTACTTACTTGATATAGTACATTTGACATCCTGCATCAGATCAATTGTTTGGCTCAGTTGAGCCGGATGCGATATATACTTCAAGCTGACCTATTCTTCAATGCACCCTCCTCCTTTGAATACCTATTGCGTAGCAAGTCTCATCCAACGATGCTCGATAATGGACCCGGACTTTACTTGGCAGTGTCAGCCTTGATGGTAGCTGTCTTAAGCTACAATCGAAAATATTGGCTCAATCAGTCGCATCCTCCCCTGCCGCCTGGTCCTACTCCCCTTCCAGTACTGGGAAATGTTCTCAGTCTTGATTTCGCTCGGCCTTGGCTGACCTTCAATGCCTGGAGATCCACATATGGTTGGTACATCATGGCTGGGATCCGTTCATGACAGTTCATTTTGTTCCTTAGGTGACATCATCTATGCTCGTCTCCTCAACAAGCCTATCATGGTCGTTAATTCTGAGGAGGTCGCTAAAGACCTCTTTGAACGACGTTCAAGCATATATTCAGATAGACCCCAATCAATTGTTTACGAAGCGTGAGTTGCATCCTGGATTGTTAGTCGGCATCAATACTAACATGTTATCAGTTTCGCTTCAGATTTTAACATGGGGTTCATGCCATATGGAAACAGGTACATAATTGGGTTATTCTATGATATGTGATGGGTGTCTGATAACAAGCAGGTGGCGCCTTCACCGACGAATCTTTCATCAGGCATTTCATCAAGCTGCTACACCTACTCATCAAGCCGTGCAACTCCGTTCTGCCCACAAGATGCTGTCCAGTCTTCTACAGGACCCTGACAATTATCCAGACCATTTTCAGATGTCGGTCGCGACAATTTGTCCGGTCTCGCGCTGAAGCTGATTCTTATCAGATTTACTTTGACATTCATGCTGTCTATCATATACGACTGTGAAGCCAAAGCTGAGGACGACCACGTTGTCCACGCCATTACAAAGTATGGGGAACTTATAGTTGATGGTTTCGCGCCAGCTGCGATGACATTGATGGAAACATTCCCTTTCCGTACGTTCGCACATGCTGTGATTGCATATAAGTAACTCAATAATCCTTCTAGTTTTGAAGCTACCTACTTGGTTTCCCGGTGCCACATTTAAGCAAGCATCACTCAAGTGTATCCAAGCAGGCCATGACGTGAAGGAGATACCCTTTCAATACGTCAAAGAGAGGATGGTGAAGTACCCCACTAGTGGAGGTACATCGAACTAACGAATCATTGATAGTCTGCCAATGACATGGGGCCGTGCTTGGTAGCTGATGCTTTGAACAAGACCAGTCAAGAGGACGACGTCTATACAACTGCAGTTAAGGAGGCTGCTTCTGTTGCATTCACAGGTATGCAAGTTGACGAATTGTTTCCTCTCGATGCTTATTTTTGTCTTCAGCGGCGACTGAGACAGTGAGTTTCTTCTGGTCTTCGTTTTCCAATCATAATCAGTTTGCAACCCTCGACTCAGACCACTGCCACGTTACTTGTGTTCTTTCTTGCTATGGTGCTCAACCCGGAGGTACAAGCTAAAGCGCAGGCGGAGATTGATCGAGTCGTTGGCAAAGATAGACTCCCTAATTTCAATGATAGACCAGCATTGCCTTACCTAGAGGCTGTTTTGCGTGAAACACTCAGGTGGCACCCAGTGATTCCAATGGGTTCGTCCTAAGCACAGATCATTTCCAAATATCCTCTGACAATATTCGCAGGTGTCCCACACGCAACAACAACCAGTGACATCTACAATGGCTATTTCATCCCTAAAGGTGTGTCTCATGCTGATTTAATGATAGCCGCTGACGACCAGTTTGCTAGGTGTTGCTGTATTTCCAAATGCATGGAAAGTTCCCACTACCATTATCCTGGATATATCCAAATAACGAAACCTTTAGGGCAATGACACACGATACAACGAAATACCCCAGTCCCAACGAATTCAAACCGGAAAGATTTTTCCAAGCAGATGGGGCTCTCAACGACGACAATATGCGTTTAGGCTTTGGTTGGGGTCGCCGGATTTGGTGAGCATCTATTCGCTTTCCTTCGCCCACTGTTGAAAGCAACTGGTCACCGGCAGTGTGGGACGGCATGTCGTAGACGCCTCACTCTGGATCGCGATGGCAAATTTCCTGGCATTTTTCTCGGCCCACAATGCTCTTGATGAACATGGAATGGACATCCCAGTCGTTCCGAAGTTCACCACTGGTTTCACAGTGTTTGTAGAATTTCATCTGGCCCCGAGAGTGGTATGCTGAGCTCTTGTTATTTAGTCGTCCGGAGACATTTCCCTGTCGCATTCTCCAGCGATTCCCTGATGCATCTTTGAGGACGCTGACGCGTTCGACTAGCTTAGGTTCGTTCTATCGATAACACCCAGTATTCTCAAATACTGACATACAGTGTAGAGTAATCGTGATTGTGATGTGCGGTGCGGGCAATACGCAGCCCAATAGCTTTCTACTTTGACTTTTGTTGTTTGTAAGATGACATTGCGACTACGTTATTTTGACCAAGTCTATGATGCCGCGATGTCCATTGAATTTGTTGAGTATAACTACAACCTGTGCATACTCTGAACATGAAGAATTGCCTTCCTTCTGCTAAGCATATGGTCTGACTCCTGGTAACGGAGTTTCTGGTCCCTGGACCCGTTCGGGGTACAGGTATATGCAAAAAATCTGTCATTCTTGACCGGAAGTAAATTTAGTCGCTCTTGTTGTTCGAACCGTCGATGTCTATGTCACAATCTTCCCGCTTGTGTCACTGTCACCTCTGCCTCCGAAACTTATACCACATCTTTCGGGCTTGCCTGGAATTGATTCATCCTCACCGACATCTGGAAGTTGCTCGATATCTCCTTTGCCGATTCTGTTGCACCAGCATGGCTTTTCGTGACGATACGACATATATCATATTGTTCCGAGTCTGAGATGCATTCGTGCGGATCCAGCCATAAATTATAACAGATATGGCATCTGACGATGCCCAGGCTTGCATCAATCAGAGAGATAATACTTAAATGAGACCACACGTAGTAGTCCAGGATCATCATATCCTATTTTCTCTCGCAATCCAGTCACGAAACAAGCGGATACCTCGGATAACTGAAGACTTTTGTTTATTTTGCTAACTTCTCTGGGCTGCTGTATTGTGGATTACATTGCTGCTTTCTAGACATCGTAAAGATTGAGGCCTAGGCAAATACTGCATGAAGACAGAAAAATTCAGAAGTGGCCATGAAGCCGTGTTTGCATCTATTTAGACCAATCCACCTCGAAATTACCCGAGGGACACTGGAGTCGGTCAACTTCAAGTCAATATTCCTCATGCCCCCGACCTCATCTTTGCGTGCGCTTCAAGTGCAAGTACCACGCCGCATAGCAGGCAGGCGATTTGCATCCCATGGCCCACCACAATTCAACGAGCCTAGCGGTTTACTTTTTGGCGAAAAGGTGATGTTTGTAACGTTTGTTCAGAACCTCTGGGAAGCTGACGAGATGAGTGATTTAGCCCCCTGCACCAGGACAAAAGCGAGTGAAAGAGGAGTGGGAAAACATCTGGTATGTAGGGATGTTCGGGTCTATGGCAATGGCTGCAGTATTGTTGTACTACAAGCCTGACACAAGGTGGGCGACCTATCTCTTCTGCTGAGCCAGCTCGTTCATCGGTCAACTTGGTCTATACAGCATACAAACGTGGGCCCTAAGGGAAGCCAAGGAACGTATGGAAGCTCGTGGAGAGAAATACAAATACGAACCATCATCATGAATTTCATCAACTACCTTACCATCTCATTCTGACAATACATACTGGTACTCGAGATAGAATGCATTGCAAGAGCTGATGATTTCTAAACATCTATGATAATATAAGTAATAACAAAGGTATGGCAGTTGAGGCCAGGTCTTGTATTGTTGGTCAAACTTAGTCTCCTGCAGGCGGACCAAATAGAAGGTAGATAGTCGCTCCTGATTCACGCTTCCCAAGTCGCTTTGTAGCTCTCGAGCGTGAGCAGTGCATTGATCTGTTACAATAAGCTGCTGTTAGAATCCTTACAGAAACGTGAACCACTCACTTCCTCGGGAGCAGAAAGCTTGATTTTACACAGCCAACCTGCAAGCCTCATGTTAATTATTCTGCTATAACTCAATCGGATGTGAAAAAGATTACCTTTTTCTTCGGGAGAGCGGTTTAAGAGTCCAGGTTCAGAATTCAAGGCCTCGTTCACCTCAGTGACTATGCCAGATACTGGTGCATACTGTGTAAACGAACATTCATGAGCTATGGGCCAAAAAGCAATCAGTGTCTCTTAACTATATCCGAGGCCGCCTTGACGCTCTCAACTGCACCAATCTGGTCTACAAATAGGTTTTAGCGCGTTGTTCACCTGTTCACAGGAAACGGGTACCTACCGCCTTTTGAAACTTTCGTGCCTACGGCAGGAAGCTCCACGAACACAACATCTCCAAGACTCTCCTGCGCATGATGCGTTATAGACACAGCACCCAATCCAGTCTCATCGTCAAAAGCAACGACTTCGTGCTCCTCGGTATACTTTTTTGCTAGGCGAGACTGTCAGATAAGGGTTCACTCGGCGGGTGGTGGGTTTCACTCACTAACGATAGTCCGACAACCGGGAATGCGCATGATATTCGAGGGACTTGTCCTTGCAGTCGTCAAGGACATCGTTCGCGCACGAGCAGCTTGTCTGATTGTAGAGAACATAATTAAGTTACTGAGGCAAGCGAGCGTAAGGTAGCTGATGCAAGTGGGGGTGTGAGGTGTGAGACAAACAATCTTGGCATTGCATTTTAGAACCTTCAAACAACCGACGTTTACTTCAGGGGTGGCGGACAGCCGTAGGGAAAATTGCCAATAGTGGCTACAAGGCGGCCACGTAGATAAACGACAGATGTAGTGCATAATGAACTGAGTCTACTTTTGAACATGATGCTGAGGGGGGATGCAACAACACTACAAGTGAAGAAAAGCAAGGATTACGACAGAATAGTATATAATAATCTAGTATCATTCATGCATACTCCAGGATCTTCGTGACGATACCAGTGCCGACTGTATCGTGGTTGTTTAGCTGGGACCTGATGGAGCATATGAAATCAGAACTTACTTGTCTTGCCACCTTCACGAAGAGTAAAGCGGGAACCAGCCTCGGCGGCAACATCATGGACCAGCTCACAAACCATCTCGACATTATCTCCGGGCATTACCTACAAAAAAGTGTAAGCAATAGATCAGAAAACGGTATAATGCATACCATTTTCTCCTCGGCGTCAGGAGTGCCCTCGGCGAAAGTTAGAGCAACGGTGATATCAGCAGTCCGGAGGAAAAGCTGAGGACGATAGTTGCTCATGAATGGGGTGTAGCGACCGCCTTCATCCTTAGTGAGGACGTAAATTTGAGCTTGGAACTTCTTAACAGCCTTCATCGAGCCTGGGGCAATGATAACCTGGCCACGGCGGACTTGTTCCCGCTTGACACCACGTAGGAGGCAACCCATGTTGTCGCCAGCTTCACCCTGAAAAATGGATAAAAATAAGCATGACGCATATCACAAGACAGAGTGCCTCATACTCGGTCAAGTTCCTTGTGGAACATCTCTGCAAATTCATGAGAAATCCAAAATTAGATGATGCATTCATATTGATCGTACCGATACCAGTCAATGTGGTTTTGAAAGTGTTGCCAAGACCAACGACCTCGACCTCAGCACCCTTGGTTGCAATACCACGCTCAACCTGTACAACAGGTGAGCTCAGAGGATACATGTTTCTAACGTGAAGCTCACTCGTCCAGTAGCAACAGTGCCACGGCCAGAAATCGAGAACACATCTTTGAGGGGAGTAAATATGTCAAAGCCCTGAGAACAATGATCTTGATATTACCTTCGATAGGCATCAAGAAAGGCTTCTCCAGGTCACCTATGAAAAAAAAATCAACCCTCCTAATGAAGAACCACATGCAAAAGAAACTGACGAGGAGGAACGTCAAGCCACTCATCACAAGCCTGGACGAGACTAAGGATCTTTTCCTTCCCTACGCTGTCATCCCGACCTTCCAAAGCGGCCAATGCTGAACCCATGATAATGGGAGTGTTTTCGCCGTCAAAGTTGTAAGTTGACAGCAGATCGCGCATCTCCATGTCAACAAGCTCGAGCATTTCTGGGTCTTGAATCATGTCAACCTTGTTGATAAAGACGACCAGTTTCTTAATGCCAACTTGGCGAGCAAGAAGTAAATGTTCACGGGTCTGAGGCATCTGACCATCCGTTGCCGATACGACAATAATGGCTCCATCCATTTGTGCAGCACCAGTAATCATGTTCTTGATATCTATGAGGATTAGTTGCATAAAACTGGGGACATATGTAGGCAAGGAAGGACAAACAGTCAGCGTGACCAGGACAGTCAATGTGTCCGTAGTGACGCCCATCGGACTCATACTCGACATGCGCAGAGTTGATAGTAATTCCACGAGCCTTCTCCTCAGGCGCCTTGTCAATCTGCGAGTAGTCCGTGAACTTGGCAGCGCCTTTGTCAGAGAGAACTTTGGTGATAGCTGCAGTCAGCGTTGTTTTGCCGTGGTCAACGTGACCTAAAGATCAAACTAAGTTAAAGCGCGTCAGAATGCAAAAAAAAACATAGCCTTACCAATAGTGCCAATGTTCATGTGGGGCTTTTCGCGAGAGAATTTGCCAGCGGCTTCAGCATAGCCACGTCGGTTGCCTGTTAGAATATCTCAGACACGAGCAAATTTGCTCCAATAAGCATGATCATACCCCAGCTTGCAGCCGAAGGCAGAAAAGGGCCAGACGTTGGTTTCCATGTTGAGCACCGGCAGCGAGCATACAGTGAAGAAGCCCTCAGAGCTTGATAACCAGGAAACGTTAGACATGTAGAGAACACGAGGCAGAGCATGATATACCTCTTGAAGAGCCAGCAAATTTGTTCGCTATTCCCCGCTGAGCTGCCAACCTAAACATACTTGTTGCAAAAGAATTCTGGTCCAACGTCCTGCGGGAAAATTGGAGACGATCGGAGAATGAATTCGGAGCGTAAGGAGTAGACTTTCCTAATCGGCATAGTATTCGAAGACTTACTTAGTAAGTTACTAGCACCATGGCAGACACTGATAGACGCGAACTTGTCCGTAGTGCAGTTTCGTTCCTCTCAGACTTTACGGTGTGCAAGTCATAAATTTCTTGAAGTGTACAACACTCATTGGGTATATCAGACGCAACAAGCGCCGCTTGCCCAGCGTGTCCAATTCCTTGAAGCAAAAGGCCTCAGCGGACCAGAGATCGAGGAGGCAATGAAGCAGGCGGCGAGCCAGACTACGCGCTCGCAGCCTGCGGCACAGCCTCAGAATAATTTCCAATCACCGTATGTAACATATGGGCCAGCTAGCTATCCTTCTCAGCAATGGGACTGGCGCGATTATTTCGTGCGTCATTTCACTTTCCTTGTGGTGCAAGTTGTGACATAGTCACCATAGATAACTGCTGTGATATCAGGGTCAGTGGTGTATGGTGCCGTTTCGCTGTTCAAGGTGAACGACTTGAATCACTCCGTATTTCTTGCTTTTACCTTGGCCCTAGAAATATCTTCAACCACACCTTATTCCTCCAGCAGCGACTGCATATGAACAAGACCGCGATGGACTGACAGCACAATTTGATGCTGCAGAGGCCCTCTTGAAGGAAATCCAGGCAGAAACCGAAGCCGTCAAATCTGCAGTGTATGAACAAAATGAACGGGTGAACAAAGTCACCAAAGACGTTGAGTCGGTAGTGGTTGAAATGAGGGAAGGCGAGTCAAAGACGCGGGACGAGATGCGTGAAATTCGTGACGAAGTGGAAAATATCCGAGAGATGCTTCCCAAGGTAGGACCGGCGATGTCGGTCATTTTTGCGTCTCTCATATTTCAACACAGATGATTGAGAAGAACAAAGAGTCTCAAAAGGAGTCTCTTTCTGAGCTGCAGCAAGAACTCAAATCCCTCAAGGCTCTGTTGCTTAGTCGCGGGTCTGCTCCACTGACGAGCTCTCCTTCGACACCGATACCCTCGTTGGCCAGTAGACCATCGATACCTTCATGGCAATTAGCTAGCTCGGCGGCCCCGGTGCCATCTACTGCAGAGTCACTACCGAGCTCAACTTCACTGAATGGGTCGTTTACATCTCTCACCCAGTTGAATGGAAAGGGGAAGGAAGCAGAGACCCTATCGAATGAATCTTCATCGTAAAATCATGTATAATATTTGTTCGTTTTATAGCAAGTTGTACTCTCAAACTTAAAATATGCAATTTGAACGTTTCCTTTGGCACGCTCACGTGGGAGACTTGTTCGAGAGCCGATCATTGTCCAGGACCAAGTGCGACGGCCACCACTGCCTTTGCAGTTAGGTTTGAGTACTTCTGGTATCCCTAATGTTTTCACAGTTTCGGCAGGCAGTGGAAAGCTTTGCGCAGCCGCAGCCCCGTCGGTCTCAAGACCTCAACAGCGATGATAACCATTTCACAAGCGGTTCACCTGACGCGCAGTCTACGCGACAGTCGCAGTCCGCAAATCAACTCGCAGACGCTGCACTGATTAACATGCGCAGGCCATTTGCATCACAGCGTCCTGGGAGTCCGCGATCCTCTAGTCCTGTCTCTTCGTCTATCTCAAAGAGTAACAGTACGAGTGATCCTGGACTACGCAAATTTACTCTCGAAGAACGTCTACGCGCGTCATTCTCAGTCGGAGATGCATCTAATACTACATCGCCGGCTATATCTTCGAGAGCTTCGCCAGTTTCGAATACAGTTGTTGTCACGCAGCATCCACTCTCCCCCACATCTATTCCTTTGCCAGCCTCCCCTGCATTACTTCCAACAGCAGCTCCTCCACCGCAAGTATTTGACACCCACCCCAGCGACCTCCCGGCAGATCCTTCACCATTGTCCCTCGCTGCAAATCACCTCCAAGATGCTAGTGAGGAAGGCCCTCATGCTACCTCAACAACAGAGGTTCTTCAAGCTCTAGTTCAGGTTCCACTGCCACCGAACGTAGAGGAGGCACCTGTGGCAGAATACTCTGTTAGTCCCCCAAAACCCATATCAGCATCTATCGGGATAGAAGAAAATCTCCAGCTGCCTAATGATCTTCCCGCTGATACAGACACGGCACTTCCGTCAGAAGTCCACAGCTCGGATTCTGGAGACATCGATGGCAACGTCGATGCTCTCATTCACACAGACGTATCTGCTTCCTATGTAACAGAAGCTCACGGCTCTGACTCTGGAGATATCGATGACAACGCCGACGTTCCTATTCATACAGATGCATCTGCTTCGCATGTGTCAGAAGTTCAAGACTCGCAATCTGGAGACATTGATGGCACTACCGATGTCCCCGTTCATACAGATGCATCTGCTTCTAATGTACCAGAAGTTCACAGCTCGGATTCGGGAGGCATCGATGGCAACGCCGATATTCCTATCCATACGGACTCATCTGCCTCGCATGTGTCAGAAATTCAAGACTCGGATTCTGGAGACATTGACGGAAACGCCGATATTCCCATTCAAATAGAAGTACTTACTTCAGGCGGTGATGGCGATGGTGAAAAGACGGAACAACCTCCAGAAATCCCTTCCACTGTGCCTTCGTCAAAGTGCAGCGAAGCTGACGTAGAAGCTCTTCAAGAACGTCTAAGACTCGTTGAACAACGGTTTTCAGGTACGATGTTGGTTGGACTGTATGTTGGGTACATGCTTACTCTTTCAAGATGTGTCGACATCTTTTAAAAAACTTCAGGCGGAACGGTCGGCTGTAGATGATGTCATTCGGGAATTGACTCCTTTGGAGGATGCTGATGATGCAACTGTACTACGTGACTATTTGTCTAACATGAACATGAAGACTGAGGTGACGTGCCACAATGTTTGCTCGGTTCTAGCCTCTTAACCGTCTAAGTAGCTTACACAAGATGAACTGCAGCGTCTCAACGGAAAACTGACACGTAATGAACTGTTCGTATCGCCATAAGAGAATGCTGACTTTCGTTAAAACAGGCCAAGAGGAACGTATCGAGGAGCTCAGAGATACTCACAGGCTTGAAACCAGGTCTCAGTTGGACCAGATTCACAAGCTTCGTCAACAGCTTAACGAAGCAGAAGCCCTCGTTGCAGCCTCCCAAACTTCAGCTTCTCTTATGGAAGAAGAAACAGGGAAGCAAACAGCCGAGATCGAACGACTTGCCGTTGAAGTTGCCAAAGCAAAAGAAGTAGCAAAAGAAGAGGAAGAGAAACGTGTCAAGGCAATTAGCCTCCTCAAGACTGTGCGTCAGAAGCTTGTCAAAGCCGAGAAGGATAGAGACGATGCGCTGAAGGAAATCGGGGAATCTAAGGAAAAGGACAGGCAGGAGCGAGACAAAGAGAGGCTTGAACGAGCAAGGCTACAGTCGGAAATCGACGCAGTCAATGCAGAGCGAGAGAAAGCGGTAACAGGCTTAAGGACCCAGTTCGACAAAGAGGTAGCTGCTGTCAAGGATCGCAGTGAGAAGGAGCTTTCTACCACCCGCGCACAATTTGAAGTTGAAATTGCAGCGCTGAAGGTTCGTATAGATGGTCGCAACTTCGTCGATGATCTAAGAAATTGCAATATAGATGTCGCATTCAACGGAATTGACTCTTAAGAAGTCACAGATCGCTACATTGGAAGCATCTGTCAATAATCTTTCTAGGGAGAATAGGACATTCTTTGAACAACTCCAGATTCGGCAGGCCGAGTTGGAATCCTCTCAGCACCACGTCGGGACCCTCCAGGGTCAACACACTGAACTACAGTTCCAGCTCAGGGAAGCACAGGATCGCCTTACTCTTCTCGCCGAGGAAATCTCAGATCTTCGAGGGGAACAAGAAACGCGACCGCATGGGCCAGGCGCTCCACAGGAAGACGTCTCGCAGCTCATCTCCACGATGGAAGCCAAGTACGAGGCCAGATTAGCAGAAATCAAGAGGAACTTAGTCCTCGCAGAGAAGGAGCGGACAGAGAGCGAAGCGGACTGGAGTCGCAAGCTCTCCGATAAAAGTAGAGAAACGGACGAGTTGAAGACGATTCTGCAGTCTTCTGCAAAGTTACGGGAAGAGAAAGAGAGCACTACAGGGGTACTGAAAATTGAAATCGAGAAGCTAACAGCTGAGTTGCAGAATCACCAGCGTCATGCATTGGAACTTCAGCTACAGGTTGACCGTATGAACAATTCCGAGGTATGGCTTGTGTACTATGCGCCAGAATGCTCTTTATGACAGGTGCCATACAGGCGTCGTTCCAGCTTCGCATCTCGGACGCTCAAGCAGAAGCCGAAGGTTACAAGAGCCAGCTTGAAAACCTGAAGGCTCATGAAGTACAGCTGCGTGGTCACATCAAGGTGATGACTATCCGAGCTCTTCACTCCCCTTTTGTCTCATAACACTTGCAGACGCTCCGAGAAGAACTCCGCAAGGTGCAAAACTCAGCTGCTCTACTTGAGCGACAGCGCAATCCAGGAGTGGGTTATTGGACCTCGCGGAGCGAGAACACTGATTCTCGCGTGTCGGTATCGTCTGGCTCTGATCTTCCATTGCGAGCTGCATCTCCTAGACCAACATCGCCCACCCCGTCCAAAGGCGATGAAGAGATTAACCTGGAGTACCTTCGAAACGTGATATTGCAGTTTTTAGAGCACAAGGAGATGAGAGTGAGTGCAGAACACCGAATATGTCCGTGCTAATAATCCATTGTTTCAGCCCAATCTCGTTCGCGTTTTGTCCATCATCTTGCGTTTTACACCACAAGAGACCCGGAGGCTGATAGCGAAAGTCTAATGAGGAAATTATCACAGTTATTCGATGAAGCTTTAGAAAGACGGTATCTACGTTGCTGAGACGTATTATGTAGGATGCTCTTGGAACTTGTGAAACTCGCAGCCTCCTGTTGTGGTAACACCGCGCGACAACACATACTGGCAACGCTCAACGTCCCGCCCAATCCTTCACCTTTTCCCTAGTTCTTAAATTTATTTATGATAAATGCTTTAACTTTAAGCTGTTAACTATGCTAACTCTTTATCAACACAATCCTCCTTCCCTGGTCAAGCAGCGTGATAAACGCGCAAAAAGCGGAAATAAAATTCATTCGAAAACAAGAAAGAGTAATGCCAGTAAATGCCAACATATCGGCGACAACAGCCACAACTAGCTCTGGCAGAATCAAGAACTATCATCGCTCTCGTGAACATAACTAGTAGTACATACACCAGTCGAACGAAGAAGCTAATATAATTATTACAACAGGCCGCATCTAGAAAACTGGAGGACTCTGGTTGGAAACATTTTTAGAGGCACGCGAACAACGTCAGTCAGACAATGAAGGTCAGCCAATACTCTTTCACAAGGTCTTTGAGTGCGAGAAGATGCTAAAAACTAGCCTGTACTCTGGTGTCTCCATGCCTTCTCTGATTCGACGGTGTGCCCTAAGAGCTGACGACCGTTCAACGGTAGTCAAGTGCGTCAGCTTCGGGGTACTGGCCATTTGTAACCGCAACACGGAGTGCTTCTGTGACAGAGACGAAACAAAATATGGGTCGCGTGCCAATTACAGTGATGCATGGAATAGTCATGGCATGGAGGGGAAAAGTGATCTGAGCTGCTGTTTCTCTGATACGCGGCAATCGTATAAGCGAGACGCACTGTCAAATACTGTTTTGTCTTGCAAAAACATTGAAGCAAGACCATCGAATAGACACACATCTGTTTGTGCAACTCGGCAGACATCACCACAGATCGTAAATGAGACACTGTGGCATGTGTTGAGAATTAAGTCACTTTCCATGAAACCGAGTATGCGGAGTTTCCAGAGTGAAGGTGTCGAGTTGACCAGCATAGGTGGCCAGGTCAAGGTAGCCAAGATACTCGAAAATGGCGTCGAAGACATTCTCGTCACCGACAACGGAATCAACGAGTGACGAATCTATACCCGCCAAGAGTAGTTCGGGGTTTTGACGAAAAACTGTTCAGGCGGCTGAGTCGTGACGATGAGTTTGTAGAATCGTGCACTAGTACAAATGTTTGGAATACGATGACAGGACGGTCATGAGTGAAGCTCTCTCACCATTTCGTGTTTACTTGAGAGTTGTAAACAAAGGGCACTTTTAACCCTGGCCGCATTTTAATCTTATGGAGATGTGAACTGATGAGGAACTAGCTGCCGCGTCGGCAACTCGGAAGTCATAGTCCACAGCCACAAATTCCTCAGCTCAATCTGCTACTGAAGGTCGCGTAGGCTATCGTCCCTGCGCGTGAATCCTTACGCTGCTTTATTTCTACATTGACGCAGTATTCCGCTGAACACGTCGTGAAACAACAAAACAAACCCAGCAAATACTAAAGGGCGGCAACAGTAGTTCTTACCTGTAACATGTCACTCGCTGAGTTGACGAGGAATTCGTTTCAATGTGGGGTATCTCCGCAACAGGTGAGTAGTTTCTATCATGTAGTACTACATGCTATAATGGTGTACCGGAGCTTCTCAGTGGTTGGGATTATGCAAACTGCTTGTACAGCAACATCATGTCGGTGTCGACTTTAGCACCGCTATTAGCAGTATGTGACCTGCATACTGATGATCCAGACTCTACATTGAATACGTGTTGAACAGATACTATCCTTGAACTTTATCGCTTGTACCCCGCAGACCCTACTCTTCGCGAATACCTTCAGCTTGCTCTGAGTGACGGATTACTTTCGAACGCGGTCTTTGTCTCCACATTTATACGCGCTGCTCGGGACCCAGAACTTCAGAATGGGTCTACCCTGGATATGCTTTGCCGCTTAGCTCTTAATACACATTACACATCGGGATCATCACCCGCAGGATCCATCATCCCCTTAGCGGACTCCCAGGTTTCTGTACTTTCCAAAGTACAAGATGCGCTGGCTCTTTTGCGGATTGCCCACTCTCTTCCCCCTTCTAACTTCCATCAGCTTATCGTATCAGCTTCTGAACTCGCGATCCTACTACTGTCTTGTGTCACTGACATGTCGCAGTTAACAGCCGCTCAAGCTATGATTTATCTCGGGGATGCGAATGATGTGCTGCAGTCATTGCGCCTTTCGCAGGAACTCCGGCAGGTATTAGAGGGCTTCGTATTATCTTTGAGCTTGCTCATGGGAGATGACGCAAAAGCCGTCAGGGATGCACAAATGTTGCACGCTATGCAGTTGACTATGGGAAAAAATGACGTCCATGGTGTCAATGGTGAAACTGATACCGTCACCTGTGGTCTGTTATTGCAATGCCTTGTACGTATTTCAGGGCTGTAACTCGAGCACCACTCATCCTTTACAGATGGCATGCCGTACCTGTGACTTTGGAGCGGGAAGTGATTTAGAAGCTGTTGCAGTAATGACAGGTACATTGCGGTGGACGTCATGGGCCCCGAATGTCTTTTGTACGCAGCTACTCGTGGCTGCTCTGACTTGCGTCGCTCAAAGCTCTGCTAAGGATGATCATGAATCTTCCTTTTCTCTATGGAGAGCGTTTGTGGTTGGTCGTGTAAGTTTTAGTGCAAGGCTACCGTGAGTATCATTACAGCTTACCACCAACTCATGATCTATAGCTTCCGCGGCTTCTATTTGCCCTCGAAAAAAGTCTTGAAGCTCATGGAACAACGGAGGCAGATTGGGTAAGCGAAATCTTTTTTGAAAGTCGTGAAGGCTTAGCATGAACTACGATTCTATCAGCGAGCTGCAATGCATGCTGCATTGTTGTCGTTATCTCAACGGTCTGATCTATTGGCACAATGTGACGCTGTAGCCCGACAAGGCAAAGGACCCGATTCCAGTCAGGATAACAACACATCGTATGTTTGATCGTTGTTCCGCGTCCTTCGTGCGAACGTCTCATTCTGAAGGTATAGATCACTTATTCGCGAATTCATTCAACAACTTCTAGCTGTTGGGATTATCGAGTATGCATTTGCGGTCTCCATGGACCCCATGATGGTAAACGACCCCAGGACACGTTTACAGTCAGAAGCTTTTGATCATGGCTGTTCCATAGAAGTAAATTATCACACCATACTTTCCTTGCTGATGATGACGGGACCTGCAGACTTATCTAGATTCAAAACTCACTTTAGATTCAGATCCAGAAGACACTTCGTTACTACTGGAGAAAATTCGCCAAGAACCTGGCAGCCACTACTATCTCGCCGCTGTGGTTCAGAAAGTAATTGCGAGGCTATTCATGATTGATCCCGTCCGTTAATCAGGCACTTTTCAGCGATTTACGTCACACTCTACGTCCCTGGATCTCGAGCACTTGAGTCACCTAACGCGGACATTGTACCACCATGATTTCGCCTTAGATATACTATCACTGCATCTCAAGATCTCAAACTTGATTTGTAATGCACTGGAGATAATCTCGGAGTATGATTGCGAAACAGTTGGTATGTTCGCCACCGAAGCTTACAACATTTGTGTTAACAACGACTCATAGGTGATCCACAAACTGCAGTGAGCCATTTGGGCGATATAGTTCTATTTGCAGAGATGGTCTTGGCAAAATTCCGGGTATGTTTTCTGTCGTCGGAATACGATTGTTCCTTGACATTCTTTGTCAAGATCTCATCGCCAATCATCAAAGACGGAAAGATGTACCGCACAGAACTTCTCCGATGCACTTCGAGAGTTTATCAGTTAGATGAATTAAGCCTAGAACATAAATCCGCATTTGCCACTTGGTACAAGGCGATTTTTGATAGCAATAGCGAAGGGATTGACGACGCCTTACTCCGGTAATGTTTTCCCGCCGTTGCAATGAAATTTGTGTCTCATTTCCCTGTAGTACAACAAAACCCCAAATTCTCCTGCAAATCTCCGCCACACTATTCTCGCAGGCCGCCCTGGCTCGTCATGAAAGCCGACTTGATAACGACACGCTGCAGACCGGTATGTCATACTTCCTTGGACCATTGCTCCGGTGGACACTCGTTGGCGTGATCCATGCTATGTTATTTGAAATTGGGCAAAGAGCGTAAGTGCAATACCGGTATCAAATGAATTCATCGTCGACACATTCTTGCTACAGGCTTATAGCTCCCCTTCACCTCGCAATCGTACAAACTATTTTATGCTCTCCTCATTGTCCCATCGTTGTCCGCCGTCTTTGTAGTCCGAGCTGTCTCAGACTATTATCTAGTAGACGGATCCAAGCTTTCCCCCAGAGTCCAGTTCTGGACATCAGCGTTATACGAGCCACGTGCTTCCAAACCCTCGGAGTCAACAAAGACCGTGAGTAACAAGTTCGAAACAATCATTTCCTCTTGCCAGCTAAATTGATCATCTGACACAGCATCTTGCAAGGCGTTGGAGGATCATCAGATCAGCCCTGCCACCAGATGGATGGACTTCCCAAAGCAAGAGATCCACGAGGCACTCGCCTTAGCTCGGCGCCACAAGGCTCCTCGCATTGACGTTACACGGTGTCTTTCCGCCACTTCACCCTCTAAATTCCTTAATCTGCTCTGGTCAGAGCTCAGTGTCGCTTCCAGTCTAGGGGAGATGGAAACGTGCAGGCGCCTAGCGACATTCGTTTTAGCCATGCCGCGTCAGCTATCATCGGCGCCACCCCTCCTTCCGATATTTATGTACAACGTTCTCCCCTACCTTATTACCACCATAGACCAACAGCAGGCAACAGAAAAGGGTATGAACACACAGCTCCTGGTGACAATCATTTCATCCGCCCTCACCGCCGCACTACACATCGAATGGGCGGTGCAAACAGTATGCGAAGAGCAGCGCTTTGTACTTGGTCAACCAAGTGCTGCTGTCGCGAGGCGGCTTGCAGCTGACCTCCGAGCGCAGAAGCGCGGTTCGTCTACTAGTGCAACTATTTTGCAGCGTCTGGGATCATCCCCTGCTTTCGTCACCAATTTTCCTGTGTTTGTGATGTAAAAAGCTGTAATAATGTAGACGAAACTTCAGGATAATATATCTTGCGAAAATCTAATTACGCCTTGCCGTCTAGCTTCTACACGGCCATGCATTACATACTCGCCAGAACCAATTCCGCGCACACCAGTGGCGTGCAATATCAAGATATATACAAGGGTCTGAAACACATAAATAGTCATGGTACTGGTGCTACACGCATGGGCAAACGTTTTTTAAACGCTTGGTACGGGCGGAGCTGGCAACACAGGGTAAGTGTAAGCGATAGTATGACAGATAGATGGAGGACTCACGGCAGCAAGCATTTTCTACCGGATCACAGTTTTGATCCGCTGGACACAGTATCAAACACGATGAGTCCATGGATGACTTGAGGGTGATCAGCCAAATGGGGATAAGTATAATCGATGCAGGGTACCCACCCTCAGTTGGTCTTCTGGAAACATGTTTGGGTTGCGAGTATGGTACTCGGGTTGAATAGTACTAGAATGTATGCCGTGATAATGAAGAGCTTTTCTAATTTCTGCTGCAACAGGCATAAAGTCATGGTTTCGTGATGCCATTACGTGTACCGATGCGACGATTTTGGATTCCGAGAGTTGCCACACATGCAATTCATGCACGGAAAGAACCCCATCTACATTCAGAATGGATTCCCGGACCTCGTCCAGGGATATAGCCGGCGGTACGCCTTGGAGGAGAATGAAAGACGCACTCTCGACTGAGACAGATGAGTTGATGCCAAAGATACAGGTAGGAAAATTCACATACCCAATGGCAGAGCAGACGAAAAGATAATGGCCGTGATCACAAGACTAATGATAGGGTCGAAGTAAAATTTGTATTTCCATTCCGTAAGCCAGATGACCAAGCCGGTAGCAATGACTCCGACATTCCCTAGGGCATCGCCTAACACATGCAATACAAGGGCGCGCATATTCATAGAGCCATGCGTGTGACCATGATGGTGGACTGTGTTACTCTTGGAAGACGGCACTTCCGTTATTTCGGATCCGAGGAGTGGGAGGCGCTCATCGAACACGTGGCTGGAGGTGCTTAATCGCCTCGTGTGCGAAGAAGGGGATGCTATGTCCTGAGCAGCTTGCACGACGGACGCACGCGTCGCAATGGGGTGACCATACATCGAGGAATATGAGTCAGAGCGCTCATGGCTACTAGGCCGTCCAGGTATCTTTCTCGGGGAAGTGACATCATCGTTTACAACTTGTTCTAACTGAGAGATGCTCGAGGAA